CACACACACACACACACACACACACACACACACACACACACACACACACACACACACACTCCATTTTCACAGAGCCTAATCCATTTTCATTTGAAAACTGTGTCATGGATGTTGGAAGATCATTTGGAGTTTGACATCTGTCTCCCATTTGTGTTTTTACTCATAATTCACATCCAGTTGAGACTGTGGGCTGTGTGGATGCCACCGTTTCTCCACTTACTTATTCATGATTTTCCATAATTTATCACACGCATGTAGTTTGCGGCAGGCAACTCTTTTGCCGGCATGATTATTCTCATTCGAACATCATCATTAGGGTGGAAATGGTTCAAAGCAGTATCATCTCATCACTATGCGGCAAAAAAAAAAAAAAAAAGTGGCTAATTGGCTGCCAGCCATGTGAATAATCCGAGCAGCCCCGGAGAGAAATCATACAAACAAGAACAGGCGGGGATTACGGATAGAGCATCAGAGGATGAGTGGATGAATGGCGGATGATTGAAGGATTAACCATATCAACTGAGCAGTCTAATAACAGTCAGTAGGCTAATAGGAACACAAGGAAACAGACTGCTGTTTTATACGCAGTAAACACAAATACGCTCTTCAGTAATTTGTCGACTGCAGTTCTTTTGGGAGAACTCATGGATGCTTTGTCACAAAATGTGGTATCAGATAGCTATAGGAAAGTCAAAGATAAAATGAGAGGACAGCCATAGGGATTGGTTTTTGTTTGGCAGTGGAAGATATCAAATACAGTAGACTTTCGCTTACCCTCATTACAAACTACCTTGCATCTCTTGTGGTTTCAATCAAGTTGTACGAATGCTACCTAAGAATATGACTTTCAGTTCATTTAGAGGGGGATTATTTTAGCTTATTTTGAATACAAATACATTCTTACCTGACCGTGAGATGGGTATCCATGGTAACCGAGGGTCAGCGGGTCATTATTCTGAAAGAAACAAGATCAGACATTTTTAAAAAATGTTTGTAGAACCAAAAAAAAAAAAAAATCAATAGCACTAACCTTTGAGCATTCACACATGATTGCATACAATTTCCCACCTACATTTATTTGATATATAGGGTGACCTTGACTCTGAGTGCCCCAATTTAGCAATTTTTGGAGTTAAAAGCAATTGGTTGATTTTTTTCCCTTTTTTTTTTTTTTTTGCTTTAATTTGAACGGGGGGAAAAAAGGAGAGTAAAAGTCGCCAATGCACTTTGGGCGTGTACGGAACACAACAAAGAGTGAAATAAACAACATACTCTCAATGATAACACAAGCAAACAGCTACAGTATGTTAAAACTCGGGTGAAAACGCTAAACAAACCTCGTTCCTAACATTATGCACCTTTAATGCACGCATACAATGTGCCAATGATTATACTTTTGCTCATTGCGTGACACTGTCTTTCATTATGAACTGTTACACCTTTAAATGCAGCTATTTGACATAGGTAAGTGATGCCACTGCTCCAGTCCCCGGATCAACACAATCAATGTACATTTGGCTGGAGAGGACTCAGGCAAAAACATAATGACATTCTTGCACATAACTGCTCTTAACATCCATTTCCTCAGCAATGGTAACAGTGTAACCAACAATCTTTCCAAATTGTATCCTTGGTCCGCTTACAAAGAAGGGCTCTCGGAAGGCAAGTGCACAAGACATGAATGATGGGCGGTGTTAGGGGCATCTATTTAATCTTAAGTAGGTTGTGAAGACTACTGGCGTGAGACGGTAGAGCGAACATGGAAGACTTCACACGCATATCATCCATCTTCACAGAGCCTGATCCATTTTCAATTTAAAACTGTGACTGAGCATGCCCCATTGTCTTTGGGTTTGCTTTGCATATACAGCGCAAAGATATATAGATTATGCATGCTGACTGCACCACTACCATTACTATTCTGCGGAAAGGTCAGACTATTTATCGATGTCCTTATTGATTGCAAATCTATTTTCTGCTCAGCTCCACTATGTGGCGCTAATGATGCACTACAAGAAAAAGCGGCTTGATTGACAACTACGAACATGTCTTCACCCATGTAAAAAATATATGGGAAAAAAGCAGAGCCAAAGGATTGGGCAAGAACATTGCACTTATTGAGATTCAAATCTAAAAAAAAAATGTTTGGTTTGTTTTGAAGCAGAATACTGGGCTGCAAACATTAGAAAGTCATTTTAGTCAATCCTCATGACACAGTTCTGGCTTTTATGCTAATGTACATCGCTAAAAAGCAGGCATTACAACAGCACTTTGGAGGGAAGTAAAGATTGTCTTCATCTTGTTATATTAAAAGACAACCCTTCCTCTCCTCTGTCAGCTTTCTTTCTGGAACTAATGTCCCTGTGCCTGCTTTGCCCCAGGGGAAACACTTTGCTCTGTGCACATCACAGCTTAAGTTGGTCTGATTAGTACTGTAGCCATCTCACACTGAACCCCCCAAGGGGCCATTTCACTCAAACTGAGCGTGACTTTTCCAATGCAGGAGCTTTGGCTGGTGAAACAGGAAGTGGCTCTGTCACTGAAAAAAGATGTGAGACAATCCAAGAGCCAAAAACGCACTTAGTGAACTGGCATAGGGAGGTAGAAGCGCTAAATAATGAAATACCATTAAGAGGCTTGAATAACATGAACTAAGTATAACCTTATTCTACCCCGGAAGATCGAAAGAGGAAAGGACCAACTGAGATTTCTGAATTAGTGGACAGTATATTGTCAAAAATTGGAACATTTGGAATTGAAATGAGACAACCTTAGCGAGAAATACAAGAGGAAACTGAGGGAGCAAAAACAATGACTCATACATGAGTGGAGTCATGTGCTTGATTTCCAGGAGGAATGAGCGAAGGGGGTGCGGGGCGGGGGGGCATGGAGTGTGGATCAGCGTCAGTTTCAATAACAGTTGCTTGCAAATTACACACAAAAAAAGACACATTGCAGTTATGATATTGCGGGGCAGCTAAAAAAAAAAGGGGGGGGATTGTGTTCTTTTGCTCAGTGAAATGTCAAACATTACGTAGATGACTTTCTTTGACAAAATTGATGGCATATCATTAGTTGGAAGGGGAATGAACACAGAACTTCAGCACACGACAAAGCTAAAGTGCTAATTTTATGTCAACAATTAGCTTAGCTACCAACAGACTGACGATGATATTTAGGAAGAGAAACTGATGTACTGGCAAAAGTATGTCTTTCTCCTCAATGACACAATGCCCTGTTTTAACATTTGAAGACTGTTGTCAAAAGATTGCACACTGGGAAATTTTGTATAAAAAAAAATGAGATTAGCTCGCATTAGCAAGTGTGAGGAGTAAGGGATAATTAATCAATGTCCAGAGTAAACTACGGACAAGGATCATTGTCTTGAGAACAGACCGTATGTACGCACGCACCACTTCCACATTTAGGCTACAGAGGCTTGCTAACTTCCAGTTGCTAGTCTAACGCATAGTGTCAGCATCAAACTCTTTCAAATGTACTCGCAATCTGCTGCAATGACGTCAAGTTGCCATAAATTACGTATTATCTTAACATTTGCGGCAGTTATCAAAGTTTCGGCTAGGCGATGAAAGAAGCATACCTCATTTCATGAGCCATTTGCTGTTTGACAGTACGTGCAGGTCCGTGTGAACGTAGATTTGCACGTTTTATTTGACTTGCTCAACCCATGTTTCAAGGCCATAAAATAACAGAATTTTAAAAAGTCATTATTGTCATGTTCTATGATGTAGATGCAACAAATTTGGGCTTATGAAAACAAAAGACACCCAATAATATAATAATAATGAAAAGTATCTACTATGAACTCCAAGATGAGGATATACCGTATGTTCCCATGTGCTTCGTGACAAAGCGGTCGACATCGCCTCGCTATAGGCGGGTGCGTTGCATAGACAGTGAGGAGAACGCAGCTTCGTGACGTGCCCAAGAAGCGTGCAAGGAAGACAAAAAAGAAAAAGCTGGACAAACTACCTTCATCGATCGATGCTGCAATAGTTAAATTGTCTTGCCGAGTGTATAAATTTTATCTCTCTTTTGTAGTCAGGCTCACTGGTAAATGTGTTCAACTAAAAACCTGAACATTATGACTGGCACACCACAGAGTTGGCAAGAAGAATTATTTCTTCATCTTTAAAAGTCACAATTTCCCGTTAACACAATTTTAAAGGGTGAGGTCATTTCTACTCCCGATGGCACACCGGTCGTTTGGAACAAATGGTAGCCGGAAGCTTGTACGCCTCCGTATTTGCCAACGGAAATACGTCGTGAGCTGCCGTGCACCGAGTCCACGAAGGGGTTTAGTTGTGACTCACATGTAGCCAGCTTGCATTTTTTTAAGGCCTAGCTTTTTGTCCTTCCCACCATCTTTTCTCCTAGCTTCACCAAAGCTTTGAACACATGACCCCTGTTCCTCTGAGGTGGTTGCTGTGCAAACGCCTGTGAAGCGCCTAATTTGGTCGTAGAGCTCGTATCTATTCCTATCGTGTCTTGGGAACGCAACTCTTAAGAACTATATTTGACTGTTCTGACAGTCATCCTTGCATCACTGCTAAAGCAGGCCATGCCACACACTCGACAGAGAACGCGCATCTGTTTTATCCACAGAGCACTTATCTGGCCAGCCTCCAGTTACCTCGAGTTTGTTTTACTTGAGTCTACACCACATACTTTTTCACAACAAACACACTTTAACTCACTCTTTCGAGAAAACGGTCGAAGAATCTTAAGTAGATTTTGGCAGATGCTAGAAGTAAACTGTTTGGAACCACATAAATACAATGCCAAAACATGGCTTTTTGTGGCTATCGCGGTGTTAAACCTGTTCAAAATAATCACAATTAGCAGCAGTTTTGCAGAATAGTAATGATAGGACCGATATATTGTTAAGTTCTCATGAAACATGCTGTTCAGTGTTGGAGTCACGCAGAATCTTTCTGAAGTAGTCTGGTTTTCGCCTGACTGAGTGCAACCACCACCAACATTTACAAAAACAATGGTGGATTACCGTGTTGTTTTAATAAATCGGCTGGACGCCAATATATACAGAGAGAATATTGTGGAGAATACGCCATGGTTTAAAACGTCTTTTTTTGCATGACTGATAATCAAATAAGAAATTATATTATTTAAAAAAACTGTTGAACATATTTCCTCAAATGTTTCAAAAATGAGCTTGGAAAACGTTGCATATTTGTAACTCCAGTTGTGCCCGTGATTTTAATAAACGACCAGCAAAACACGAAGCTATTAGATTAATTGCATCTGATGACTTTCATCGATTTCGTCACAATGAAATGAACTACTTGAATGCAACCAGAAGAGGTGCTGTCGATTCGGGCTCAATTAGTCATGTGGACTGAGCAGCAGCATGTCAGCTAAGGCCAACATCCATGCAGACCTCCAGGCAGCATTATGAGACTCAATGTGACACTGCCTTCGAAACATGAGCTCACAACATTCAACAAGATATAACAATGGCTAACTTTTGCATTTGTCTATTCAAATGACATGTGGTCTCCGTACGCTATTACCATGGGGGGGAATATAACCTCAATGCATAGCAAGGCTATATTTTATTTCTCTAGTTGAGGCTGCTGAGATGAGAATACAGAGGGGTGATCCGTGTTCATTAATGTCCCAGTCAAATCATTTGTCCTCAGAGCTGTTAACCCGGGCAAGACCTTATTATGTTGAGAGCTAGAGATAGACAGAGAGAGAAAGAGTGAAAGAGGGGGGAAGAGAGAGAGAGAGAGAGAGAGAGAGAGAGAGAGAGAGAGAGAGAGAGAGAGAGAGAGAAAGTGCATACGGCCCAATTTTTTCGCAGAGTGACAACAAACATCGGACGTTCAGCAACATGCTGGATGGATATTGAAAATGACAACCTCATCTCAACATTGGCCAGTAGCGGACACGGGATTCAGATGCAAGGTGGTGTAAAAAATACCCTTAAGTCAATGTAAATGACAGACTACCTTGTTCTTGCAGTGGAAAATAAAAACCTTAGTGGATTAGCATTTTGCCCAAATATTTTATGTTCATTTAAGCTTGCTTGGGTGGTCTGAGGAGTCATGAACTGTATGCAGCGTTGATTTGTGCAAACCAAAATAATGCATTGAATTGATGTAGTGTTGCCACCTACACAGCAAATTAATATCAACCCTTTCCGACGAATAAGCCAACCAGTGCCGGGAACTGTCCCATTATTGCGGAAGGCTAAATAAATTACTACTTACCGCAACCACATCCAATTCTGCAGAGATCAATCCTGACTTCAGTCAGCAATAATAAGTTAAAAAAATACATCAGTAATGGTGCAGCTCAAAGGAAAGCAAGAAGGACAGAGACATTCAGCAAGTGTGAAGTCCAGGGCAAAATTTTCCACTCTCAATATTCCAGGGAAGTTTAGCTTTATAGACGTAGTGTGCATTTTATTGCCATTTGATGGGCTTTTAAGTCCCTGAATTACAAATGAAAGGAAAAGAGATCATGTTCAACTCAATTGGAGTTTGGAATCGGAACAATTTCCTTACCGAAATAAAATAAAAACGAAATCACTGTTAACAAAATGAAAACCAAAACTACATTTCAAGTTGACAGAACCAAAACTGTCATCATAGCGAAAATGTCCTTCGTTTTCCTCTTTTTCAAATAATTAAATGTGACCTTTCGCCAGAAGAAGGAAGGTCGAACAGTCGTCTGAGTGTCGTGGTCCTTTTACCACGCGTGTTGCCGTGAAGCGACGTCATCTAGTGGCAGCCAATAAAAGACGGCCACCAGAGATGACGTGTCAAGGCAACAGCGGTGCCTGAGGTCTTTGGAATGGGTTCCCTGCTTTTGTCACTTAACTCAGCCACTTAACTTTGATAAGAATTCCCAACCTATTGTAACTCTGGTCTAAACGTGGTATTCCGATTGATGTTTGTAGAATAAGAATTAAGAAGAATAATGCACTCGTTATCAGCCATCCAAGGAGGCCGATGTTTTCTTTAGCAAATCTCCATACTGTCAACTGAAATTGACGTCAAAGTTCCCATGGGATCACGTTGCGAATGTAGCTCACGTTTTCTGGGTTTGGTCACATGACGTTTGCAAGGCGAGCCCACGGGCACTTTGATGTCAATTTCAGTCGACAGTAGGGGGTGATGCTACAATCTGAAAGGGTGGATTAGTCTTAATTCTTACTCCAGAAATGGAATATTAATCCGAATGCAATGTTTACATTTGTGGCGGCACATAGAACATAGTTTTCCAGAGAAACAGTTTGATTTACTTCTGCATAGGGGTGTTTTGTATGTTTAGAATAAATGTTTCCCTTAATAATATAAACAAAATTAATCTGTGGCTGTGTCACTCCTCTATCATCCAATAGTCTTTAGTGGGGGCTCTTCTTCAAAAAGAACATATTGTAAAGACAATTTTTGACTTGACTTCCGCGTTAAATGTTCCACTTTAATTTTATGATCGTCTAAATTTTGATTGTTGGGTTTTGACTGAAGTCTGCACACTACAAATAGGCCGTTGTGTAGTATGCACACACTGGTAAAAGACGGAAGACTGCAGTGGAAGGTGAGTCTAATACCCCGTATGAATTTGATGCACAATCACTTATTTTTGTATACAACAGTACGAGCGTTGTGTGAATGCGCTGCCTTAGATAAGGATTTCAAGGATCAGTGAGGTTATAAAGCTCCCTCTAGTATGAGATGTGATCCCATTAGCTGGGAACAAAGCCTCTTTACTGCCAGTGATAGGGAAAATCTGTTCAGAGAGATGGAGCTATGGAGGGTGGCCTTCTCTTGCCAACCCCCCTTTGACCGCCCCACTACCACCACCACCACCACCACCACCACCATTAGTTTCCACTACCCCGCTCTCATTTCCGGACTGTCCAACAAGCTCACGTTCAATACATTTCAGAGACTAAAGCTATTGATCTGTGCTACTCTGTTCTCTCACTGACAAAGACTCTCTCATCCACACACATCAACTTTCAAGTGCGTTTATGTTACTGACAGCACTCACTGGCGGCAGGTCTGCATGGAACACCAGCCACTTAGTTGTCCAAGCAGGAGCAAACACACCACTTTACTTCCATTACAGCTGTTTCCAATGGCAGGCAAATAGCTTTCTCCAATCTCATGGAGCACTCCAACATACATAATATACCATAATGATGAGCAAAGCATCCTCTCGCTCGACTGCAAACCTCTTCCATATGGCATGTTTGACCATTTCATAGTACAAAATGACAATACACTGACACCGAGGGGTAAATAGGTCTATGACATTTGCTGATCAGACAGAAGGGTAGTCAAAACTGTAGCAATGGGTCAAAACGTGTTGGAAACTCATGAGTACTACAGTGACGCCCCTAACTTCCTGTAAAAGTGGAGGGTCTTTGTTTACCTCAAATATCCCTGTCTGCTCACCAGCTCCCTCAAAGATAAAAGTGTGTATTTGCTCTCTAAAACAAGTGTTGTGCACACTTTCATACTAATGCGTTGTGTTTTTTTATAACATGGAAAGCAGAGATGGCATACATTCCCTGCACTGCTAAAAGGCTGGCTCTACTATAAACAAAGCCATTACAGTATCAATTTAGTACTAAATGTCTGCACAGTGAGCACAACTGAATTAGGTTTATAGCCTACATATTAAATTGTGGAATTAGTGGGTTGTGCGCTGGGTCAGTTAGCAATTATCCAGTACCACATGTGGAGGAGTTTCCAGCTTTGCTGTTCGGGAACTACTGTAGGCCCACTTGTGACCCCTTCCATGCGACACAAACAAAAGCAAAATTGTATTGGCATTGGCCAGTTTTCGAGCGTCTTCCTCACCTGTCCAACCTCGCCGATCCCTCCCGACCCATCCATTCGGGGGCGCTTGCACTCAGCCCCTGTCGTGTCGATCAGCGAGGCCGCGGTCGGCCCATCGGGCTCCGGGTCTCCTCGCTTCATTCCCCGGACAGCAGAGGAAGCGCCGCCCGCGTTGGGATGCACTCCGGCCAGGGCGTCTAGATCTCTATCCCGCTCCAAAAGTCCACGGGACACGGGCAGCATGATAGATGTAACGTCGGTCGACATTAACATTTAAAAACGATGATTCTTATTTCTCCCTTATTTAGGTTATCAGATGGCCCAGGGTGGTTTTCTCACTTTGTGCTTGTAACTGGAGGTTAAATTAAGTACTTAAAATGCATAGGCCTTTCAACGAGCCTCTGCCAAATATAAACTAAATAAACGTGAATTTGCACGGTAAAGATATTTAAATATAGCGCCTACTGTTTACGGCGTCGCCGCCTTTCTAAGAGGCCTATGCTATGTCCGATTATAACAAATCACATAAATCAGCAGCGATCACAACAAATGGCTGCCTACCGCCAAAATGTCCATTAGGGATATGCCTCTTTTCCCCCTTCGATTTACAGTGAGTGCCGCTCGTTTAAGAGACACAACATCCTACCGCAAGCTCAAGACGAAAAAGCCCCTGAACATGTCGCCTATGTTTCCTCGTAGACTTGAACCACAAGAGCGGCTGTTCGCGGCAAGTCGAGCCCGGTCAGGAGCGCTCTCTTGCCCCCATAATAGTCCGCAAGTGTCCACCTGCACGGAAGAAAAGCTGACGACGTACGCGGTTGTTTTTCCTTCGCGGTTGTGTTCCTTGCCTGCGTCAAGAGTGCGTTCTCTCTCTCCCGGCGTGTTCTAGCGGCGTGTGCTGGGGGGGAAAGGAAACCGACCTCCCCTCCCTCTTGGCAAGTCTTCCCCTCCTCCCGTCTTCCGCTCTCCCTTTGAACGCAGAGCCACGCTTGCCCGCAAGTGTGCGCAATGTGCCGCAGTGCCTCCACACATTTGTGCGAGGGGCGGAGGGGGTCGAACCTAATGGTCCAAAGACACAGATGTTCTTACTGTGAGCCCTCTCCTCTAGCTCCTTTTCCATTTCCACTCCTGCGGTTTTCTCATTTTAGAGCTTGCGTTTTTTTTTTTTTTTACGCCCCGTGGCAGTGCTCTTGAAAATACAATTCCCCCAAGTTCTTACACAACCGAGGACCTAGGCCCAGAGTTGAGTAATGTAGCGTCGAGCCTTGCCTTGTGCTTCTCTGGTATTTTTATTGCTTGGATGACACCCAGTGGTCAAAGGCTACCATGAGAAGCCAATGAGTGTGCATCAAAATCGTAGTTCAGGGCTTTCCAAAATTATCTACCGGATCTCTGCTTGTTTTATTTTCGCAATTTATATGTAAGGTTTAAGTGATTGCAAAGGAATTTTAAATAGACCTCTGCAGTCAGCAAAGTTTGTCTCTTCCACAGAGCTCTTGGATGTTTAAAGTTGGATGAGTTATTTTCGGAAGTCTTAGTAGTACATTGTGTAGCTTCAGTTCCCACGAAGCGATTGTGTGAATGTTAGTGCAAATTGTCCGTCTCTAGGTGTGCCCGTCTTCCTTTTGGCTGAATGCAGCTGGGATAAGCTTCAGTACCCCGTGACCCTCAGCAAGGTAAAAGTACTAGATGTTTGAGATATTTTTCGTCAAGGTACGTCCAATGTTAATGGCCTCAAAATGTTTTCTTGTCACAAAGAAATTTTGAACATGTTCAAAATTGTGTGAAACCATATAAACTGTTTGCGACCATTAAAACTGTTTGCGGCTGGCTGGCGAATGTCCTTGTAGCTGTTTGCCAAACTGAACGAACTCTGACAACAAAAACATCACCCCCCGACGTGCGGATGTGCACACTTGCTAACCTACGCTGCTCAGTGAGATACGGGCTAAAGCTGTGCAAAGAATGAATGGATGAGTTACTTCCTTATCTTGATGAGGAGGGTGTGAAGCTAGATATGTGGCTTTGTACAAAGAAACATGAACTGAGAACACCTCAATGCTTAGAAAGCTTACGTTAAAATTATATAATTTTCACTGTATCATATGTACACATTCCCCTCAACAGTTCCACGATGGATGTAGTTCAACCTCTTTCCTATGGGGGAGCCTTACACTTAAAAAAATCCTCAGAGGGTAATAGTAATAGATATTATAAACTATATGATGCAACAACAAAGCAAATTTTATGGCTACAGGGGCCATAGGTTCCACACCCACGTGTATATCAGCACATTCTCACAGTCACAAGGTTTCCAGATGAAGACAAGATGTCTCCAAGACTTAAGTTTCACCCTGGAGACATTCACGTGTTGCTTAAAAACTTCTCCTGAACCTCAACCAAGTCCTGATTGTCTTACAATGTTAGGTACACACCCAAGGACCGTGGCCCACGGCCCTCCCATTCATGAATTTGAAAACAAAAGGCTGTTAGGGCTAATCAGTACAAAAGCTTAACACTGTGACTCTCGAAAGCATTCAGTGGAATGCACAGGAAATTATTTACGAGTGGAGGGACGGCTTCAAATTCTCCATTGTTTACCTGGCACCAGTGCGGGGGCGGGTGCTTGTGAGGCCAAGAAGCCCTGTACAAATCATCATGAAGATGAAGTTATGCGCCACAGACATCTTACACTCAGTAAAAGTAGAGCAATGAGTTATAGTATGGCTAGGTCTGGTAAAAATGTGCCTCATCCTCGCATCTACTTACACGACTAAAAAAATAAATAAAAATACACAGTAAGCGGTACGAGTGGAGGTGTGTGATGTGATGACAATTTCAAGGAGGAGGTTCACCAGTGATACATTTAATACAACATGACTAATGAAGAGTGCAAAGTTCAGAGGGCAAATGGAGAATGGTTTTCAAAGGTTTTATGTTAAACTGTCTGATGACAGTATCAGAAAATAGTGAGGTTATGCTAAAGAAGGCCCTGTGCCATTTACTTGACAATATTTTAGCTACTCTCTAGAATCTGCACTGCTTAATTTTTATTAGCTGCTTTTAGAGGTGGGCCTTGAGGCCAAGTCTTTTACAGATGGAATCATGACCCTACATGGAGTCACCAAAAGGAATGTTTGACTTAAATAGAGGTAACCCCAACTCTAATGCATATTAAAAGCAACCAAGGTTTCCTGTTCATTTCTTGACAGCATCACATGCTCAAAGGTGCTTGAGTAAAACATGCCTCGCTTTTTGGTAGAGTACCATTTCTAGTTCTAACAATGGGCTGGTGGGCCATCTTAACAGACACACACACAGCCCTCATGTCCTTGGAGAGCTTTTATTGGTGGTTAAATGACTAATATCTACAGCCTAAAAAAAGAGAACAGAAGATATGGGACCAGGATGAAGAAATACAAATGTTGTTCAAACAAACGATGGGAGGGCATCGTGCCAGGTTGTTGCAGTTCACTTCAAGTGTCATCCAAGCCTCAACTGTAAGAACAGGACATGGATCAGTCTTGATAAATAATTCACAGCTCTCATTACTAAATCATTGTCCATCTGTCATACATAAGAGCAACCCTCTAGTCATTTTCAGCCAGGATTAATAGGGTTTGTTCAGGGTCGACAGAGTGCAACCATTTTACTCACCATCACTGACCAAAACACCCCTCGACACATGGGCCATCAAGTGTTGAGCAGAATTCAGTTGCACACATGAAGTAAATCTGAAATAAAACTCACAGTGGCACCATGTCAGTCACCAGTTTGGCATGCTAACATTTTACCTTGGAGTTGATAATTTACTCATACGAACCCATTTTCTCAATGAAGGTACTTTGATAACACACACACACGTTTTTAGGGAACAGAATACTTAACTACAAGGAAGGACGGATTGAATTTATTTACAATATTTCTGAGAAAGATATTTTATGTTTGTTATCACCCATCTGTCACTTAAAATCGTGACACATTTGGGGTGTCAAGATCTAGAACTGGATGGTGTTTTTCTTTCTACATGTTTTGTTAACACAGTAATTATTCAAACGCTAACTCTTGGTATACAAACATTTATCCATTGTGCCATATTGGGAATTTTCTTGTATGCAACTGGCTTTCGAGCTGTCTCACTAACCAGTTGCAGGGAGAGGTCAGCCCCAATAGGCTGCAGTTAAATAGCCAAGTGGGCATTTTGGCATTTGTCTTTTTTTTTTTCATAGCATGTGGGATAGCACAAATGGCTACCTGGCAACTAGCGGCTGCAAAACCCGACATCATAAAAACACTATCAGAGAATGAGAAACCAAACTATACATTTCCTGGTTCGCTTGTGTTGTAGTAGTAGCCTCCTACTTGATACTATACATTCAATCACATCTACATGACTCTAATTTTATAATAGGTCATCCTCTTGTGTGTGGACATGCCCCAACAGTGACAATGAGAGTATTTAATGGCTTGTGAATATATAGAGAGAGCATAGCTGATCAACGTTTATCCTTACCTCCTCATTCAGGTCTTTGATGTCTCCTTCAGAAAGGAACTGGAAGGTTGTCATGGTGAAGCGACGTGTTTGAGGATCAGGGGAGTGAGATTGAGGATCAGATTGCACAACCTGAGAGGTTGGATCCAAGGGGTTGGGGCATCTTGATACAGGCAAAAGATATTACAGATAAACCTTGTTAGTCTTTATGTGAGGGAAAACGATTCTTTGCCATTTCATTTGTCCGCAGCTGCACTGCATTTCTGTTTGAAATGTAAAGCTGTCTTACTCAAGCAGAGCTGCAAGAGGCACTCAAACATACCCGTTATAAAGCAACACCCACACCGAACTTCCAGAGCGTGAGTAGGCCACACAGTAGTGGACCAGGAGCCGCAAAGTGGGATCCGGGGCGTTGAGCATCCTCACTTCCAGGTAGAGGGGTTTCCCCAGTAGCATCTGCAGGGGCTGGTGATACTGTGGGTAGTAGCTGGTGTACTGAGCATCTGAGAGAGGGTGTATTGTTATAGAGGGGAGGAGGTTCAAATGTTTTGTTGCACTCACAAATCAGTCGCGCTATAGCAGATTAAAAACCAATATGGTCTGAGGCATTCATCCACATGTTGAAAACAGTATAAATGTTGTCAACATTGACCATACATTCCTGTGTTGCAGGATGGAGAAAATCTGTCTGCCTACCTTTAGCCAGGCGGAGTTGGACGCCAAACACGCCCTGGGTCTGGACTGCTGGCCCCAGGGTAGGAGTTTTTACCAAGTAGCTCACTGTTAAAGCACTGCCTGGTACATAGCGGCACTCTACAAGCAACCTAGCAGTGAGGAAAGACACAGGGACATTCATCCACTGATGGTTCAGCTTTCGGCTTCAATAAAATGAAGGGCAGTGGATTAGTTGATTGGAAGCAAGCAAGCATGGGAAGAACAAATTGGGCTGTTGCAAGTGCAGGTGATTAAACTAAAGTTTTCCTGACTTGGAAAAGCGAGTAATAAACTAGGCCCCAAATGATATGGAGGTTTTTGAAGCCAATGCAGATTCTGACAACCGATTAAAGGAGTTAAAAAAAAATCTCTCTCTCTCTCAAATATTTGATGTACAAAAGCAACATAAGTGAAGTTACTGTCAAAACCCGATTTGCATGCATGGTGCCCTTTAATGTTAAATCACATATCTTCTCCATTATTTTCTTTGCTGTGATTACTTCAAAATAACAGCAACCGTTCTCACATGTCATCTTTGACAGAGTGGCACTTCAAATATGATTTACACAGACAGACAGACAGATCAACTGAAATGGGTACCAATTTTAATACTAATCATGCACACACTGCAATACAAACCTTATCACCATACACTTGCAGAGATCATTTCTCAAAAGGCAAATCATGCAAAACTACATTTTGTCAGCCATGCATGTTCTTTACTTTCTACTCACACTCATGTTTACCGGTTCATGAGAAAGTAAGATTATACTGTATGTGCATTCCGTTGGCAAAACTTACCATCCAACCCAATATTGGCCGTTATCACCAGTTGATGGGTCGACCCATAGTATAAACTCGACCTAATATAGTCTCTGCTTATTGTATTGCCTAGCATATGACGATTAAAATAATTATCTGAAGGAGGCAAATAATTATCACTAAAATTGTGAAATGTTTTTACATTGCTGTACACGTTTGCTGTCACTGATTACACAACCTATAGTCCCACAATGAGTTGTCGGCTTTACTATCAATATAGTATCCTTCACAAACGTTCTGAAAAAAAAGCAAAGTTGTACTGTTCAGTCCACAGGCTGAATAAATTACCAAAAAAAAAAAAACTTGGTCTGACCTGACAGGAGAATCTCTCGTGATGGTGCCATAATTGAGGCTGATAGTCTGAACTATGTTGATGACTTCCACCATATAGATCAACGTTTTCCCAACTTCCTGCGAGGGCAGAGAAAGCGCACATGGTTTTACCATAACCATTACAGCATCAAATAATCCAAACAGCCTGTGCTTATTAAACATTATAATATACCATTCTGCGAGCCCCGCAGCCATCCATGGGGAGCTTGAACAAGGCATACTCAGAAGTCACTTTCACTGGTTTACAGGTGGAATTGTTGGCAACCCCCAACTGGCCAGGGAAGAGCGGGGGCTCCGTGAGGGATGCAGGCACAGAGAAGACAAAGTGGCGGTCAACTGTGCACTCTGGAAGAGCACAGCACGCACAAACGCACGCACGCACGCACGCACAAACGCACGCACACACGCACACGCGCACACACACACACACACACACACACACACTGGAGCACAAGCATGGTAATGTAAAGGTCAAGCGAAGAAAAGGTCACATCATTCAGGAGGCCATTGATAAGACCCAAGGTCTTATATACTCTTCCACATTCTGTGTTGCTGCCAGTTTGCTACCCCGATTGTGCTGCTACAAATGCGGCAGCTGTTGTGCTTACATTTTTGCACCCAAAAGAACTCAAGTGTTCTCTGCTAAGTGGCGTGAAAATGGCTCAGACGCACCATCCATGTGGTAGTAGCAGGCAGGGGGTTGCTTGCTGAAACAGCAGCCCATGGAGAGACATGATGCCTGGGATACCAGACCTTGTTGACAAGGGATCCGTTGGTCTTTGGGAAGGTTGCAATCTTAAAAAAATGAAAGCGTGATAAAAGGTCATTTTCACAGTTGAAACACTGTCATTAATTGCCATTCAAAGCCTTTCAGGAGCCCACAGACAAAAATACCATGTCCAGATGAAGAGGCGGCAGCTGGACAGTAAAACTGAGCCTCCATCTTGCCACTTTGAGTCATATGGGTGACACTAATGGTGTACATGTTATCCTTTGAGACAAAACATTGAAAAACAAGTTAATGATCAATTATACGAAAGGTTGTGTGCTCAGTGTGAAATCCGAGTCAATACTCGCCTTCACGCTCATGTGACAGCGCGTGTGTAACTGGAGGCTAAAATGGATTTTGCCATTTTTTCCGATGCTAGGAGAATACCCACAGTGCTTTGGAGCCTCCTGGATACTTATTTCATTCCCTTTTGCATCTGAAACATTGAAGACAAAAAAAAAACAGCAATTTTTTTGGTGCATGCTCAAACTGGCAAATGCAGTGTAAATATCTTATACTGGACCAAAACCAACCCTTCCCCCTCCCCCATTGAAATGTATACCAGAGCAGCTCCCTTGAAGCAAATCAAACTCACACAGAGCTGATTGTAACCATATGCATTTCATACATATACCAAACAGTACAGACTGGGGTCAAAGCACATGCGCACCTTTAACAACAATTTCAGAGATTGGACCAGGTGGGAGCTGAACTACCATCTGATTGGAGGAGCAGAAAACTTTGGGCTTTGGAAGAACAGACGGGTTAATGGAAGTCTTGCCAAACACAGGTTTTTGTGTCGGTGCAGGTGACTCAGTCAGGTACCGGGACACAGGAGTGTGTATTGGTGAATAGGGTGGATAGCTATCCAGATAAGGGTACTGGTAGGAGCCACAAGGTGTTTGAGAGTAAGGGGGACAGTTGGCTTGGTGATGTTCCTCAGATGGAGGTGAAAGCAAGTAAATGGGGTCTTGGGGATAAGGATAGCTGGGATTAGCAAAAGTGGAAGGAGGCAGTACATTGTGATCTTGTTTGGGATGGAAAAAGTGTTCATATGGATTGTGAAAGCCATATAGATTGGATGGAAGATGGTAATGTGGCATTGGTGATTGTTTTGGTGGACTGAAAGGGGGAGGATGTGGTCTTGGCATCGAACTTGCTGCAGTAGGTATAGGATAAGAAGGTATCTGAAGATAATCCAGAATTGTGGGTGGGTGGAGAGCTTGAGGAGCAGTGGCTTGAGAGGGACTGGCAGGCTCTGAGGCAGGAAGATAGACTTGGGGAATTTGAGGGGACAAGAATTTAGGGTAAACATTGTGGAAATTATCTGGAGATTGAGCTATCTGAACCTGTGTTGGAGGTGAAGGGGGAGGAGCTGGTAAAGGATTTTTGGAGTATTGGAACTGATGAGGCAGGGCTCCAGGTCCACTATCTTGAGAGGGATGAGGGGGAATGGCAGACTTTGAGCCAGGAAGGTAAACACTGGAAAATGTGGGTGAACGAAACCCAGGGTAAGCAAATCGGGGATAATCATAACGCCGAGGAATCTGATCTTGGGCTGAAAAACCAGGCGCAACAGGTAACGTATTTGAGGGGGCACCAGGAGCACCGCCCGGAGAAAACCATGGGATGGCAGGCTTTGAGTCGGGAGGATAGACATGGGGAAATGTTGGGGATCGGAACCCTGGGTAAGCATGGTGTGGATAACCAGGAACCTGGGCAATCTGATCCTGAGCTGAAGATGCAGGTGCACCGGGTTGATAAGTTGAGGGGTAGGGAAACTGATGAAGTGGCGCTTCAGGAGCGCCAACTGGAGAAAACCGATTCCTAATGTCAGGCTGAAGAACAGGAGAGGGGAGCCGCGGAATTTGAGTGTATGGCAAGCCAGTGTCGGTCGCGTGGCGGAAATCAGGAAGTTCAGCAATCGGGTCTTGGACTGAAGATGGAGGAGGCGTAGAAGGATTTTTAGTGTATGGTACATGGGGCTGGAGAGTTTCACCAGAAGACTGAGGTAAGGAAGATGGTGGAGGAGACAAAGTACAGGAGAGCATGATTTCTTGCTTATCGAAAACAAGCTGGAGTTCTTGCCCATCCTAAAAAGACATGTACAGAGCATATTTAGTTTCAAGCGTTTGTTGCAAAAATCAGTTCAAACTAGACGACTTACTCTCAGGCAAGAAGCAATGAATGGGACAAAGAAGATAAACTCTTCTGGTTGGGAGTCAACACGGTATGCACACTCGCTAGAGACAAATGGAGCCCAAACTCCATTTACTGAAAAATACATTGTAAGGTTAAGTCAGTCAGGAAAGGGTTACACATTGACAAGATAATGAGATTTTTTTTTCTCACAGCATTTACAGTAATTTGATTTTTTTTTCTCTCCACACAGCGTTTCTGCATTTTATGCTGAGTCACGAATAAGTAATAAAAAACAACAACTATCACTGTGCCAAACAAATGGTAAATTATGTGTAATTTATACAAAGAATCACAGACAGAGTAAATTAAACCAGAAAATGACTTTGGTCAATCCCTTGACAATGTGTCAAATTCATCAAAATGAAGAAATTATTTTTGGTTAATGTTGGGAGCTCAGGTACAGTTAGGTATACAGTACCCCGCTGGCGTCTGATGGAACCCTTGTACCGGTACTTCCAAAACCACTTGTCAGGAGACCCCAAAAACGCTCCGTTTGTTCACTTATTAACATTGCTTCGTCAAAGAGAGCAAGCCATTTTCAACACTTTAGATTGGTCAAGAATTTGCAAAAATAACACCCACACATGTAGATTGACCAAGAGTATGGATTTGTGGGAAAAAATGCCAAATACACCAAATTTTGACAGAGGAGGTTCAGGCCCGACACCAGCAACACAATCCTGGCTTGTCGGATTTGTGTGATTTTACTCAAATAAGAAAATATTTGCAGCGAATGACAATGCAGAAATGTAACCCAGCGAGGATACAATAAAATTAGAGTACCAAGAACCCCCAGCACTGGTAGACCATTCTCTTGCTGGTACAGATACACCGCCATGCCGTAAGGGGAACAGAGGACGACAGGGATTGACGATGCAGCCATAGGTTTCCGCACTGGGCAAGAGAGCTTCAGTGGACTGCCCCACCAAAGCATGGGCAGCACGTAACTGTTGTTCTGGGGGAGCAGAGGAGCAGGTTTTTGGTCAAGGACATAGTGAGCCAGGTGAGGAAGGACTGCGTGAAGAATACCTCCTGGGTAATGTAGCATGCATCATATGGCACCACCATCTGAAGGTCACTCCATGATTTCCTCACTGTGTAACCGCAATATAGAGATAGCTGGAACAGAGAGACGGGAGAAGCTCCTCCTGTTTAGAGAAATGGTAAGAGTTAACCTGGAGTGGAGTTACATTAACATCCTTTGCCTTGAGGATTTGGCATATGGCGAACAACGAATCGGATTCATAAAAACAATGACAGTTTTTAATGTGCATTTAGAACAGTGAAAGTGATTGGATTCACTAGTTAATTGGCAGTGATGCAATATCCTTTATGAACACTGCATAGGTTCTCGTGAGTTTTAAAAAATAAATAAAATCGCAAAAATCCCCTACTAGTTAATATCCTTCACTACTTCCATTTGGGATGCACCGTTTTAAACGCCTTGGCAGTAGACAATAGTGGCCTTGTTGTCAGCGACGAAGATATGCTGGTAGCCAATATTTCTTCATTCTCATTCAGTTGGAACACTCTGAATAAGCACTTTTTTTCTGATCTTTATGTTTAAAAAAGGAAAGGAAAAACACACAAAATAGTGGAATAGCAGAGATATACTCCTGCTCAGATATACTCCTGCTCATGGCAGCCCAAACAAAATTTACCAGTCCATTCTAATCCTCGATAATCACATGTATACATTTAAGATATTTGACCTTTGTCCACCAAGAGTTGTGAGAATCCTTGTCCTGAAGCTGTGAAGCTCATGAAATTTTGATCACACAGTAGCACAGGCTTCAACGCCAGCCATTCAGATGCATGTGGAACTGTGTCAGATGATGATACCAAGACTTTTCCCGGAACACCAGAAAACCCTAGTACATAATCAAATTTATATACAGTACATAAAAAATTAATACATGTAAAATAGACAGGGAGCATGCCAGCATTAGAGTCCATAAAAAAACATTACCTGTGAAATCACTTTGATATCCATCTTCTGTGTCGAACAAGCTTTGTGATCTGATGGCTTTACCTTTAGTCCAAGTCCATGACAGGCTCTCGTGAGGAACAGCTTCACTGACCTTGGATTTACTGAAGTCTGGAATATGATCTGCATAAAACGCTTCAGTTCGAGAACCAAACTTATTATACCCACTTTTGCTAGATTCGTGCAGTTCGCTTCCCTGGACAAGAAACTCATCAAGGTTCCCTTTCGTGACATCTTGTTTAACCCGTCCACGTTCGGTTAAAGATGATTCTTGGGCTTCGTGGACGGAAATACGGCTCCCCAATGGGGCTGGTGGTACAGAACCACAAAGGTGGAAAAAGTAAGTCGTTACTATAAATAAATACAAGTTGTACTTTGTCCTTTTTTCGTCGCAATTCATCTCTAGCTTGTGGACGCTTCTGTTCGCGTGTCCACCGAGTGCTGCGTGCGGGTGAGGCTAATTAAGTGACATTAACTTTGGACCAATCAAGGAAGTAGCTTCACGAACGTCAGTCGTTGGTGACGTCATAATTAATTGACCGTTTTTTTCTCTACAAAAATGCCTGTGTGTACAGTAATGTCTCAAAAACGCCTATAAACATAAAATCGAATAAAAGCTCTCTAATGCTAGAGTGAGTTTTAAACTACAATATCAGAGTGGTCACATAATGCATGACCAGTCACAAGCCTAGACTCTATAATGAGTCTAGGCTTGATGAGTGTAGAATTTTCCTTAAAATGTGATTCTTCTTCTTCTTATTAGTAGTAGTAGTAGTATGCAACCATCCATTTTCTGAACCGCTTTATCCTCACTAGGGTTGAGGGGGGTGCTGGAGCCTATCCCAGCTATCTCGGGCAATAGGCAGGGGACACCCTGAACCGGTTGCCAGCCAATCGCAGGGCACACAAACAACCATTCGCGCTCACACACCTAGGGACAATTTAGAGCATTCAATCAGCCTGCCATGCATGTTTTTGGAATGTGGGAGGAAACCGGAGGACCCGGAGAAAACCCACGTAAGCATGGGGAGAACATGCAAACTCCACACAGGAAGGCCGGAGCTGAAATTGAACCCGGTCCCTCTGCACTGTGAAGTCGACATGCTAACCACTCGACTTCCGGGCCACTAGTAGTAGTATTAGTATTATTATTTTATTTGTTTTTAAATATAGCTCATATAAATACTGGTCTCAATTGGTACTATATGCCTGTATGTCTGGATCGTATGCCATCTATGTACTCCTTGTGGTGAGCATTGTACATCACCTAATAGACAAAAACAAAAAAACAAAGGAGGACTAATGGCATGTCAGCAGACGACGGAATCTGTTATTTGTCCTTTCTATAAGACATCCAACATTATAGTATGACTCAGGCATCTGGACACTGAGTATTTTTTAGAAACATGGACTTGTCTCTTATTTCGGATACTTAGCTAGTTATGATCAAAGTAAGGTTGCAGTCACAGCAGGATTTTATCACAATTTGGAGGGACAAAAGGTGAGAACATCTTCTTGATTAAGTTGTGTCTTGGGCGAGGACTTGTATTGCTGTCGTGTTTCCGCTCCAAATGGGACCGTAATGTGCTACAGTTTATTAGGGGGGTGGGGGGGGGGGGGGGAAGAAAGTCTGGATCTCATTTAGAATGTTCAAATGTATGGCACGCTGCACTGCTTAAATTTTGTATTGACGGGTGTGGAAATTGGTTGGAAGGAGGAATGTGAAGAGGCATTTTACAGGAAAGATAGGACGAATAGTCCAATTGAAATCCGAAGAGAAATAGAATTGAAGAGGAGTGGATTTGCTTTGCGGGAACACATTATCCTTGTAAAGGGGCCTCTGCTAAAAGAAAATGAAGCATGTTCCCATCGTGAAGCACATTAGGAGGCCATGGAATGTGTCAAAGGCAACATTTAAAATCCATTTGAACTTCCAATCTTGCTACACTGGGAAAAAAATGCTGATCTCTATTTAAAAGAAGACTTTTCAGCCGTGACAGCTGCTGCTCTGTAATATTTTTCCACTAAGCACTCTCTGCACAATGGCTGTTATGTGAAGGACTATGTTGAGGCCCACATGTTGGAACACGAATAGAAAACTCAACTGACTCAGAATTGGTGTTAAAGAGGTACCGGCATGCTCTCCTCCTCTCCCACGATATATAGGCACAATTTGCGGAACCCAAAAGACCAATTACAGGCCATTCAGCAATGTCGGTCGACTTACAATTGTTCAATATGAAAACAGTGAAAAAATCTTAGCTTGATTTAATCTGTTGCCTGAAATCTTTATGAGCTATACATTCAATGTTTTAAATAATTTTACCAATAAAATGGCTGTGTTGGGACAGAAACAAGTTCACCACTGTATTATGACTACTTGCCACCTCATTTAAACAGTCCTTCAACTTCATCAATGAGGATGGTGTAGTAATATTAGTGTTTGAGATGTTACAAGCATTGCGTTGCTCACAATTAACTGTCACACCAGTTGGAAAAGATGTTAACTGCTCATGTAACGTAAAATTGTTCAACGCTCTTCGAAAAATAACAAAGCACAGAGCCAGTTGGCAACTTGTGCTCGCACTAACGTTAGCAATTAAGCATATTGCATGGACTTGAGTGACACAACCTTCATTATCCTTAGCCATTTCTTTGGCTGCCAATCACCCTGCTAGCCATCTTTGCTCTCCAGTGCTGCCATACATACTAGGCCATAAAAGCAAAAGTGAGAACAGTCTTCTTTCCTGTCTCCATAAAAATACAGTAATCTAGCTTCCTCAGGAAGTACAGATGTTGCCGTCTCTTCCTGCAGCTAGCCTCAGACACTTGTATTGATCTGCAAATTGGATGCGGTGCCCTATTCAGTAGGTCTGTGTCAAACTAACTCAGGGATACTAAACACTGAGTCAACAATGTTTTTTTTTTTTAAAAATCACAATTCTGACCAAGGCCATGTACTTCATCACAGAATAAATACCTGTGCCTTTCCTATGTAGGGTGATCCAGAATGTGTCGGATACTGATCTGTTTCCAGGTTGAAAAGCTCACACTGTCAAGTCAGAAAGCGCTCTCAGCAAAAAGAAGGCGTGGCAAACGTAAAAGCAATGGAAGTCATTCTTGTTATCTGTCTTCATCCCACCTCCAGCAGAACAATGCAACTATTGTTGGCCAAGCATGAGGACTACCACTAGTGGTGTGCCCCCCGCCCCACCTCCTCCCCAAAAGATCTTTGGCCTGAGGGCAGAGATGAACTAAGCCTGCTTTCTAAACATGCTTTTGTCATAAGAAGACCTACCTACACTTACTTGAGCTTTTCTCTCATCCGACACACGTAGTAAAAAGCTTTAGTGGATGTACATTGGCTGACTGGGGGTGAGCCTCTAAAAACATGGCATTATTTGAAATATCCACTACATCTGTAATATGTCACTAGTGAGCCAAGCACCAGCGGCCTCACACTTACTCACTCACTCATTCACTCCAGCACCATAGTCACAGCCTTTGCTTGAACAATAACATGAGTTAAATAGAAGTCAGTCGCGTCAGACTGTTATTTTGTAAATACCAGCGTCTTTAAAGGCCTTAGCTGCAGTTCGAGGTTGCCACGGTGATGCTCGCTCCTTTCACTTACGTTGCAATTCGGTGTCAACTGGATTTTTGTGCTCTGGTGTCAGTCAGTGAGGTTCCCCTATTTGGTTCTTTTCTGTAAATCTGGACTTCATGTGAGACTATCTCAGAATATATATATATATATATAGTAACTTTACAAAGTGTTTTGCCATAAAAGAGGCACCGGTATTCTAAAAATGATGGCTTTTATACCGTTAAAATACTGATACATCTTGGAAACACATTCAGTGGAACCTCTAAATACCTGCTGTTGAACAGATTGCAGTTGGTCCAAATTCTCAGCAGAAAAAAAATGCATCTATAGTTGAACAAAAGCTGAGTGCAAAATGTTGAAACAATTTTTTTTTTCCCTGTGGCTTTTTTTAGATATTTTGCAGCAATTCTGAGAAGCAGCATCAACAAGGGCGGTAAACAATTTCAAAACATTAAAAACAAAAAACAAGTTTGGAGTGTTTTAGGGGTAGAAATACAACAAACTGTGCATTTTATACAAAACTGTGACTCAAGAGGATGCAAATGTGTCAGAGCATGGAGTAATTGAGAGCAGATGGATGGTAATGACAGCAGAGTACAGAAATTTACTGCTGCAGCAAAAATGCTTGAGCGCATATTGCTTCACATGGGATGTAACCACATTTTTTTGGGGGGGGGGCAATTGCTGAGCATTTACATACAGTTAGTTCCTTCCGCATCATCATTGGGGTGAGGATATTTAAAGTACACTGCATGCTGGATAAGTATTTGAGGGTGATTACATAAACTTTAGGAAACAAATCCCTCCAGCAGTATCAATTAAAACTGAACATGATCTTTGAAGTGAATTATTTTTTTTAGTTACGGCCGAGTGATAGTATGTTGCTGTCATGACGGCTGATGGTAACTCAGTGAGAATGTATTGCCTGGCAGCCTCTTGATAATAAATTTGAAGGTTTTTATTACTGATCTGAACTAGTATCAAACGCCAATGTGTTCCACGCAGCATGCACTTACAGTGCAAGCCAATAGTACATTCATACTTCATGATGAGACAAAAGTTCATCATGGTCAAAGCAAACAAATAAATAAAAAAAAAACAAACACACAAATGCAGGTAGACAGTCAAGGGGTGACTTCTGAAGCATAATTTGTATGAAAATATTGGTGGAATTGTGTACCCAGACATTACAGCATTCAACTTTGGAGCTTCCATGCTTGAATGTGTATAAAGTGTGATAGTAGTATGACAGGATTTGCGGGTAGTTGGCAAATGCACAACTACAGTAATACTTTCCATAACCCCAAGGCACATATTTGCGCGGTATCTGGGGATTCCTACAATAGTTGGTCATGTTACCATGAGGATTACAATGCTTCATTTATTTTTTTTCTTTGTCAGCTCAGATTGCATTCATCCATTCCAAATTCTGAGGTAACTGAAATTATTAGAACGTAGACCGAATGTGATTGATGATGTTCTGCAACTACGTGGAAATAAAGGAAATGCCCAGTATTATCTCATAGTCCTACAGAAAAAAAAACAACAACCTGCTATGTGGACCGTTTATTAAAATAGCTTGAGGAAACACTCCAAACGAGGGTTAAGTAAGTAAGACACGTTGTAAAACACGTTTTTAATTTTTGAGGACAGCATGCAGAGTAGCTTTTTGGTGACTGTGGACATTTCATTGAGGAGGAAAAAAAAAGTGAAACTTTCTGGGTGGGGCTTGCACAAGGGGAAGAGAGGGAAAACAGGCCGATGTGTGTGCGTCCCAGTCAGAGCTGGGTGGGTCTTCTACTGCCATTCGCATTTTCCAAATAACTCCCGGGCTGTGCGTTCGAGCGCTTTCAGGTAATACTTTATTATTCTCGATTGCATTCTTTTACTCCTAATTGTTCCTCTCTTTCAACCGACTGAAACGCGCGTTTTTTTCGTGGTTTTGTGGTTACTCAAAGTGCAGGAAAGCGAGATTTACGGCGTAGCCCAAACTTTCAAAGTAGCACAGAAGGGTTGAAAAGTTGCGAACGTAAAAGGCGCGCATTGGAAACCATTCCTTGTCGAACGTTAACCGTCATAAATTACGATATATGTAAGCCGGAACTATTATTATCATTATGTTTTACATTTATAATTATGGTCAAGCGTCGCGTTCTCGCGCTCTTTTCAAAGTTGTTGACGGCATTGTACAGTAGAGGGCCTGCGCGTGTAATTTGGGAATGTCCGGACACCGTCGCAACAAAAGCGGCTTTCTCGTCGACGGAAATAGCTTCAAGCCCCGAATTCGACCACTACAAATGGTACTTGTTAATTTGCCCCACGATGCGCCACAATAGGTGTTTGAAAAGTTTATTACATCGGCGTGGGGGAATTTGTTGGGGCTGGTCAGGGGTTGGGTGGGGGCACATCTGTCTGCGGGGTTTTCAGGGGCGTTTTTGGGGGGCCCTCTGTCTGTCAGCTCCCATTCGCAGTGTTTTATCTGGGACAGCTGTGAGGGGCTTTCTGTAAGGGGGAGGTTGACTTAAGTACTGTACAGTGAATGCTGTGCATCCTCCCACGCGCGCGCCCGCGCGCGCACACACACACACGCGCGCACACCCCACAGTCCCTCCAAATCACCGTGCCAATATTTCTTTTGCCAGAGGGTCACAATGTTGATGCTGGGTGGAATCGTTGTTGTGCATCTCACCACCATTATCCTGCTCCTCATTGCTACCATTGATAATGTAAGTATAGTGGGTTTTTTTTTCGTTCATACAACGCACCCCCCTTCCAAAATGACTCGCATTCCAATTATGTTTGTTTTACCCAAATGAAAACACGTGGCAGACGTTGGGTGTTATTTAACAAGTTTTATGGCAGTTTTTGGGTGGGTTTGGGTTCATATTTTATTACCCACATTTATCACCCATATTTCTTTTTTTCCCCACATTATAATGTGATCTATGAAAAGAGTTTACAAATTATTTATTTCATTTCATATCATGAAAGGGTAGTCTTGTGTTAGTTTCTTTCATGAGATATTTTACTTGCTTATACGTTTACAAAAATAGGTTCTCAGAATGGGGGGGTAGTGAAGAATTGCACTTCGTTATTGGCATTTCTAATACAGTATTGTGCTCCACTTTGGTAGCTAAATAAGGTAACAAAAACTGAGACTTAACATAAAAAATATTGAGTACAGCTCTTGTATTGGATTGGGTACACCTTGCTCTGGTAATTCAACAGGTCGCTAAATTACATACGGGCAATAGAAATGGATACGAAGCGGTTTAGAAACCAATCTCCCTGAAATCAGTTCTGTATTTCGTGGCATAATAACGTGACATTTACATCTACCTGTGACTCTAGGCCTGGTGGACCACCGATGCATTGTCAACTGACTTGTGGGGAAGATGGGAGCTGGTCAACTCAGCCTGGCATTACACTAACCTGAAAGACTACCCAGAGGGTAAATGCTGTATAAAATTTGCTTACCTGACAGATGCTGTCCCACTGCAGTGAATAAGATATGGACGCAGGTGTTTAAAATGAGTCAGTATATGGCCCGCTGGCACGTGCCATGTGCACGTAACAGCTAGACCATGTCCCATGAGCAAATTATTTGTGTTTAAAAAGCGCTGTGCAAATATGCAATCGTCAGCGTTTTTTGTCATTCCTTCACTTTGTATGTGTTGCTATTACAGAGTACCTTCAGGCGGTACAGGCGACTTCAGTGCTGGCGTGCATCTTCGCCATCCTATCCCTGTTTGTCTTTGTGGCTCAGCTCTTCACTCTGCCCAAAGGCCAACGCTTCACCTTCACCGGTGTTTTACAGTTGATCGCCTGTGAGTGATAACAGCCTTGTTTTCTACAACCATAGGGAACATTTCAGTCCGCTCTATTAGATGATGTGCTTAGATGTCTTTATAATGCATGAGCTAATTGTCTGATTAAGCGCATATTCACATACTGTACATTCTTACTGAGAAAGAGGGAAGGATCATTGCAAATTTTTAATGATGTGGTGGAATCAATGAATGCTGCGAGTCTGTTTGCTGGTAGCCAGAGGCAGGGTTCAATCACAGCACATTTGTTTGTTCTGCATGACACAATTAAGACAAAGGTCATGTGTTCTCAAGTCTCGAGAATCCGCTGGGTTAAACTGCACAAGACGAATGGAATGTCATGCACAAAAAGCACTGACTGAAAATAAACTCAACCTGGATAAGCACCAAATTGCAAACGTATCACTAGTCATAGAGTTAAATAGCAGGGCAGAAATTATATTTCGCTTGAAAAATTAATGAAAATATTACATGTAAAAAAAGCACTGATGGGAACTGGGCAATGGTATTTTCTCAGAGTGGGAGTCTCACCTCCTCAAGGGGGCGCCAGAGGATCTCAGGGGAAGTGCAGTACAGTATCGTGAGAAAACTACAGACGAAACATCTTCTTCTTCTTCTCCTCCTTTCGGCACGTCCCTATTCAGGGGTCTGATGTTTAGTTCTAACAATTCCATCCGCCCCTGTAGAAAACTACAGACGAAACATATTCCCGCTAAATTAACTTCAGATACATGCTCTATGAAATTGGGTTGATGTTTAGTTCTAACAATGAAGGGTGAGACTTAACTGTATAACTACGGTTATTTTAAAGTAAAATAACAATTATAGAGGTACAAAAAGTCCAGAATTTTATGGTAATTTTCGAATGTTAGTTTGAACAGAAGTCTTACAAATGAAGTCTTCCTGTTGCTCCAATTGCCTTCGGGCGTTTTCCTCACTTCTCAACATAATGGACAGTCAGAAGTGAGCAGAAAAGTGAGTCAGGCGAATGAATCGTCTTGTTGGGCACCGATTTTCTGCTCTAAATATTTGTAACACTCATTGTCATCTGCATTTAAAATAGATTTCATAGTCTGAATCCTCTGTGGGCGAGAGACAGATTGATCCAGTGTTACACCAAATGCTTTCATCTCATTTGACATTATTTAACGAGTGCTCTAATATGTTACGGCCGCTCCTGATTTGGATTAAAACACCATATTTCCTCATATTGTGGCCTTTGCTTCCCTGCACCAATGAATCATGGGGTGTGTCGTCCACATGTGCCGAGGAGGGAATCTTAGAAATAACAGTGACAAATACCATACATTACCACGATATACACTGCATGAAGAGCTGACATGGCATCTGTAGAGTTGTCAATCAAAAGCAGACACAGCATCTGTAAAGCTGTCAATCAAGAGCAGTCATAGCATCTGTAAAGCTATCAATCATAATTAAAGACATGCATTCTGGAGTCAAAGCTTCAAATTTTCTTCAACGTTTACCCAGAAAGAAGAAGCAAAAACTCATTAACAATCCTATGTCTTCCAATAAAAAGCGAGTGAAAAGTGTTGTCTGGAAAATTGATCCGAATGCTACGTATTCCATGCTGATGATTCACACGTCATCGATCCCCAGTACGCTCTGTAGTTAAGTAAACACCCTCAACCAGTACACGAGGAAATTGTTCTTCTTGAGTTGTTATTATTGGTATATGGAGTTTTCGGTTATGAGTAAAAACTGACTTAAGTGCTCCATTCTCGCCTGCAGGTCTGTGTATAATGATAGCTGCCTCAATTTACACCGCTGAGTTCCACGCCAATGAAGACGGAGCATACGGACACTCCTACATCCTGGCCTGGATCTCATTTGTCCTCACACTCCTCTTAGCAATCACCTATCTCGTTCTGCGGAAAAAAAGTGAGTGAGTGGAAAGAGAGGAGTCCGGGATCTGTGATCACATTCCTTCTTAATTGGGACGTTCAAGAAGTATCCTCCAAAATTGTGACAAATATTTGTTGTTGGGAGTTAAACAAAATGGGAATATTGCTCAGTCATTTAAAAAATACATATAAGCCTCATTTATCATTTTATTGTGCAGATTTCCCATTCCGAAATTTGATGGTATAGACCACATGGGAGTAAAGTGCTCTACATTTGTATAACAAGCTAATTTACATCATTACCATAACAGTCAAATTAGTTTCAGTGGCAAATTATAATGATGTGAAATACTTTAAACATCTCGTGGCAAATTAGGCATACAGTATGTCAACTGTGACTTTACTAGCTTGGTGCTAGTTACTGTAGCATAAACTTAGGGAGAAGTGGGAGAGACATTTGTCTTTTTTTTTTGTTGTTGTTTTTAGTTTACACAAAAAGTTTTAGAACGTCGTACATGTGGATTTTGTTACCAATGAATGATGTAGCCTCTATGCTAAGCTAACCCAAACTACAGCCAGACATGGCTTCATACATTTTCTGTGCAAACAGGAGTGTAGCATCTCTGTGCCTTAAGTCTCACACTGTTGGCTCTTTCGAAGTAAAGTCACCAGTTAAGATTATTTAGGAAGTGGGGTCTTGATAAGTTGAAGTGCTGACCCCCCCCCCCACCCCCCCCAATCAAACTGAGGCTTCCAACAACTACAGTACCACAAGAAAGAAGTTAACATTCTGTGTAAAGTTACAGCATGTTCGCAACACTACACCTTCCCTGTTGCAGTACTTGAACAATTCAACAAGCCTTAATTGAAAATCTAAGTAGTTTTAAGTCATGTATCTTTATTTTCTGATTGAAGTATAGTGTATTCTTGTTTAATCCATGTACATTGTAACCATTATATTTTTGTAACATTTTGTAATGTACCTTTACTTTTCAAACTATGTTTTGCATTTTGTTTGTAGTTGGCTGCTATCTTAAAAGAAAAAAACAAAGTACATCAATTTGTACATATGAACCAGGTATGGAGGACGACAGTGTTTCATTTGATCATATTTCTAAATTATGCATTCGAAGGTTTGTAATTACATTGGAGTGAAGCCATACACTATAATCAATAAACAACCATTAAGAAACACTGCTTCACGCTTCATTCATCAAATCAAGCTCAACAATATGAAATGACTAGATAAATACTATATGTATGAAGAACTACTATTTTGGCAATATGACGAACGTTAAGGTTTTGGGTTGAACTCTTTGCTCGGACTTTGCATGTTCTCCCTGAGGCTGAGATGTGAGTTGACTCTGGCTTCATTCCACATTGCAAAAAACGTGCATGTTAACTTCATTTAAGACTCTGAACTCCATAGGCGTGAATGTGAGCATGAGTATGTTTGACTATGTGTACCCTGGTGGGTCACACCCAAAGTCAGCCAGAACAGTCTCTCTCTGAGAACAGGAGCTATAGAAAACGGATGGAAGTTCCATTCAGGGGGGGAAAAAAAAAGTCCGAAATAACGACGTTAACATCATACCACAAATGTTTTTTTTTCAAGGTTTTACATTTTATATTTCTCTCAGCGCAAGCATTTCTTGAGGTCTTAGAACAGACCCAGTCTCAAGCAGGAATGTTTCCATGATGTTAGCTATCGTTCCCAGAGGAAGCGGATGAGAACAGGACGCTACTAAATGCCTTGGCCAGAGGGTGTGATGCGCTCCTGAACCACTAGGTGAAGGAGGTGATTCTGTTCAGCGGTCAGCAGTGGCCTGAGGTGGAAAAACAAACAAACAAAAAACTGTAAATAAAAAACATAAAGGTACACCATGAGAGACAACACGCCGCTCATGATGGCGAGAAACATTTTGGAATGCTTACCATAGCTCAGTCTGAAGAGACTTCAGGGACTCTGTGTCTTTCTCTTGGCATGCCATCTGTGAAACACATTGGCTTTTATGTGCTGCACAAATAAATTCAGATGGCCTTGACAAGGGATGTGACTGTGTTTGTTCATAAACTCGGTTGATATTTCGCTATACGCTCCTCTTTTTGTTCGGGCTTCATCAAGCAACAATACTATTATCAGTCCTTTGAGGACACGCGTACAAATGCTGCAGATTAAAATGGGAAAACTGCGATCCATTTAAAAAGCAGGGACAATCCCAGCACATTTTATCGCAGCTTTGCAAAAGGCCCCGAGGAGAAGACCAGGAAATCCTGTCAAGTGCAAAAGTATGCGTCTGATGAAACTCACCACCACCGACTGCAGGAGCAGGAAAACATTCTCTGGTAGGAAGGTCACTGAAAGAGAACACAAGCACTGACTCGTTGGGCCTCAAATAATGGTTAATTGTAACAAGCCACCGCCCTCTCAATCAAACAAAGAAGACGGAAGAGGATCTTAATCCTTTTGATCAGCAATTAAAAGTGTCTCCACCTTGGCTGTGTGGGTCAAAGGACTCCCATGCGTATCTCTCCAGTGTTTGCGCATGTTCTGGTAGCAGCTTCTGAGGCGGAGGCTGCACAGAAAAGTGAAACGATTCAAAACATTTAAGAGGCTTCATGATTTACAATATGGAAAATAGGCAAACACAACTGGTGTTATACTGGGTTATCGATTCTTATTGCGTCGGTGTTGCCTTCCTTTCAGACTTAACCTTTAAATCTCATCTGCGTGTTGCAATTTGATGGCTGCCTGTCACTAAAATGTTGGTCTTTGTCCATGCAGCTTATCGAAACAACGCTCCTGTGCAATTTAATCGACTATTCCATTCTCACTTTCAATTTCATTCTCATACACCTAAAATACAGCCTTGTGGACGACAATGTGTGCCTACCCCGTCAGATATCCTCCAATTGTTGTCCATGTAACCTAAAAGTCAGAATAGACACGTCTTTTGTTTTGGCAACCAGTTTGTGATTTGCAGTATGATATTTATTTACATTTGTATGATGTAAAATGCTCATAGTACATGCAATACGGTTATCATTGTTGGCCACAGGGCAGCAGAATACAAGCATGATTTGAATTTGTGTCGCTACCATACAACTTTCGAACTTTGACGGCAAATAGATATTGTTCAATATGAAAAGTCTTAAGATAACCGTTGTGTGTGGAGTGGAATAATGACGAGGGGATATTACCGCAAGTCGCAACTAAAGTTCACGTATACTTAATGGTTGAGGCAGACGATTACTCTTCACTATTATCCAGCAGATACTCATTTTTCCAGATACTGCTTAATCACTTCTGGGATGGGGCATCATTCATTATCTGTCTCAAACTTTTTTTATTTTTTATTTACAGGAAGTGAGTTTGTGGCTCAATTTCAGGTAGTCAACTTTCCACAAGAACCTGAATGACCTTGTACAGAGAGTTCAGGGAAAAGGGGGCTTTGAGATACTCCCCCATTTTCACCATTCTACTGTTTTGGAGCAGTGCTGAACTGCATACAGTCCAATACATGGATTAAAAAAAAAAAAAAAAAGACTGTACCTCAAGCAACATCAGCAATAAAACTCTGGCGATCTCACATCTCGCCACAATGTCCAGAAAAGCACCTGTAAGATAAGTTAAAAAAAAAAAAAGAAAAAAAAAAAGGATCAAACATACTGTAAGGAAGGGATGTAACAGCTCACCAATAGAACAGGATGCAGGAGGATAGGAAATGGCAGGAAAGGACAGGTCCGGGATTGTGAGCCTGGCAGCGCGAATAGTATGTGGTGTGAGTATCTATGCAGTGCAGAAACACCTTTTGGGATTATAGAGGACAGTTGGGCGATTTGACGAAATCATAAAGGCTGTCATTTTGAGTGCATTAAAAACCAGATGACTGGCAGGGCAGAGGAGCTGAGCAGCTGGACAAGTGGACAGCACAACTGTGCTGTAACCTGATCTGCTGGCTGACTCCCCATGCCCTCCCTGGGGAAACCTGACTGCAGAATACTTATAGTGTGGGAATTTCCGTTTATTTATATAATAGTACATTTGAGGTACATTTAAAAAGAGTTTTTATCACAGTTGGCAAGAATTACGGGTTTGTCAATCATTTTCATTTCCTTTTTTTTTTTTTTTTGTGAACATGGACAGATTTAAGCGCTGTGAAAGGAGCCTCACCAACAGGGGTGTTGGTGCCTGGTAGTTGCAGTCCTCTCTCCTGGCACGTAAGCTGCATTTCCGTAAACACTGACAAGGCGCCATCATAGTCACCTACAAGGAGACACAAATTACATAAGATGAGATACAAAATGTTAAAGATCTGGTAATGCAACTCTTTATTGGTTAATCGGTCAATCGGCTGTTTCGTTATCCCATTCATCCCTTTTCTAAACTACTATGCTCCTACTTCGGGTTTCAGGCGAGCCTTTCCTAGCTGACTTAGGGTAAGAGGCATCTGAGACATTAAACTCACGTGTGAGAATTTTACATGAAGCCATTTCTCCCATCGACAGAAGAGATTCCACTGGCATCTGTGTCTGTAGCTCTGCGGCCCTCTGATAATGAACAATAGCTTCTCCTGGTCGGTTCATCTCCTATTGAAGATGAAGCGTCTTATCAAATGAAATATAGTACGTCACCCATATCGTGTGCTACTTGAATATGACAGCTTACTTTGAGTGCATTGCCAAGTTCTAAACACAGACTGGCTGCCATCACAGGCTGGTTCATTTCAACATACACCTGTAAAAACAACAGCAATTATCAGACAGTCACTGGATACATTTACTTGGCACAACAGACAGTTTCTCGCACTTAAAAATCAGAAAAAAAGGGCATCACAGTGAACCTTGATGGCAAAACTGTAGCAGTTGAGTGCAGCCTGCAGGTGCTCGTCAAAGCCTGGTGCCTGCAGAGAGCGATTCTCTTGCTCAGAGGAAAGAAAAAGGCGTGCAGCATCAGTTAGCGCCAGAGCTTCTCCTGGAGCGTTAAACAGAGTCTGCTCACACCTGCAGGAGCAACAATCACAATGTGATAATACACAAAAGTGGAACACTGCTGCTGCAACTGTACAGTCTGGAATAAATGTTTTAACGATAGCTGGTGTTTGACTCCGGAACAGATTATTTCTATTTCCATCATTTAATACTGAAACGTTTAAAAATCAATTCGGTCTACATATATATTTATATTTTAAATAAACAAAATCAACAACATCAGCTATATCTGCACAGCTGCACACGAATGATGAGCTCCCAGACCAAAATAGAAAAAGTTATTCTTTGTATTTCATTAACATATGGGATCAGGAAGTTTACAGCCAATCAAATAACTGAACATGGAAGCACACATTTGTTTGTATAATCTCCGCTTTAGAATTTGCCTACTTCTAACTAGCAGGACCTGGCCACTACCACAAAAAACTGTTATTATTTGTGTATATGTTCTCTTACCGGGCCATGGCCAGGTTACAGAATGCGGCATACTGCAAACAGTCCTGCTGCTTTAGCTCCTTGGCTAGTTGACCTGAAACAACAAACATTGCTGAATGTAAGCTAAGCAAAATATGGAAAATGGAGACGCTAAATTGGTCATTACTCGAACATGAAAACATACCAAACTGCTCACTTGCCTCCGCAACATTTGGCTTCCGGAGGAACCGCCTGCAAAGAGGGCAAAAAAATATAAATATAATTTTTACAACGAGCAAAATATTACTGTGTTACTATCAATTGATGTGCACGTGCTAGCAAGCAGACGCAAGAGGCACTGCACTGTTGTGTGGTGCTAATGCTATGCATTGGCGATGCCGCTAGCTACTAATACTACGAGCTACTAATAACTGATTTATATCGTAGCCTGGAAACATTTTCACAAAACATCTATTTGTGAGATTCAGTGATAGCGGGCGAGGAGGGACCCACTCATAAATATTACATCCCTCTACCAGTCGAGGGAAGCTAGCAAACTCGATCTAGCTTGCTAGACAGCAACAATTACATCTGGAAAACTTTCATCTGATGTTATTTTTTTACTTACGATTAATTCCGCCAACACTTACTTTTTAAGCTTATTCGATACAGCACGGTATCTCGCCAAGAAGTCACCTTCTGCAGCCATGGTCACCGCAGACAACACAAAAGCAACCCGGAAGTGCAGCAACTGTCAGCAATGTTGTGAGTGGCTACTTTTTCGTCCTCTATTGGTTGATTCGTGGCGGTTGGCAAACAACCTAATGATCATTACTGCCATCACCTGGTATGGAGTATGGATCGTGAGTTTACGCAGACGTTTACTATTACTGTATATCTATTTCACTTTAATATTGCAATGTTATCTTACATTCTTTCCTTTGCGAAATTTAGCTCAAAATCTCTAAGCTAATTTGGCGTTTTATTCTCTTTAATATTACAATCAAATTTATTCTCTCAACCACACACCTTTCACACCTAAATAAGGCACCCTCCATCGTTTCTACTTCCCCATAGCTACAATTACGCGCATCATGCTTGCCTATTCTGAATAATGTGCGATTTGCTCAGATGTTATTCTTGATGTTATTTCTTTTTTTTCTATTATTCCTTGGTTTCCTCATTTCACCAACGTTCATTTGTATTTTGTCAGACTATATTCCTCCTCTTCTTTGATCCATTTCTTTTGCTACCTTAGTTATCTGTTTGATCGCAGCTTTGTTTTTGCGAAATTTAATTTCTCACTCAATTTTAACATGTCTTGCACCCTTTTTAGCATGTTTGTCTGCTAACTTATAAACCGTTTGTTATTTTTGTCCAACAATGTGAAATCCACATTTGCATCGAATATCCATGAAGGAACTGCTGGCAAAGGTACTATGGACTCACTTTTAAATGGTCTGTTTTGAATTATTTTGCTTCCTTAGGTGATACACCCCAAACCTTTAAGTCCTTTCTTCTCCTTTTCCCAGCAAAGTTGTAATACATATTATGTGGGACGATGTTGTTCATAAACTTGCAATTGGCTCCGTGAAGGAGATCTTAAATTTTTATTGGCTCAGAGAAAATGGCGTGGCTTGACTCTTGGAAGTGATAAACGCTTTTAAAATGCCTTTTTAAAAAAGAAAACCCTTTAAAAGTGACCTGGAAAAGTATTCATTGCCCTTATTTTTGTTGCATTAAAACCTCAAATTTATCTCTCTCTCCCTCTCCCCTTTCTCTAAATATATATAAACCTATGGAAATCCAACTTTTAATTCAAGTGCATTTATTCAGTGGGGGTTGGGGGCGAAATCCTCCAAGAAGAAATAATTATTTTACATCAAATCATGTGTGCCAAAATTATCTCATCTAATGTTTCTAATTTGTACAACTGCCTTTTGCCAATCAAAAACCATCTAAGCTTCTCCTCTAATGTTTCACAAGATGGGAGAACACATAGAGGTATTTTGGATCGTTCTTCTTTGCAGAACCTCTCTAAACCTATCCAGACACCTGGACCCTTTCTCCTTTTCATATCACTGCACAGGTTTTCAGTGGAATTGAGGTCCAAAAATGTAAATATATTTATTCTTTGAAATGTTGAGGACACAATGGTATGCAGAAATACAGTTAATAACAATTTTATAGACAATATAATTGTCACGGCAGACAGGTGGGGGCAGGAAATATTTTCTTTTCCTGAGGGAGACGTAACAGTTAAGCACTGGCATATATACATGAATGAGTCTTTACAATATATAATGTATTTATGGGTTACAATGTCAGCCAGGTTTGACACAGAGTTCTTGATGATTCAGAAATTCTCGTAGACAGACTCAAATGCCCCTTCCTCATGTGCTTGCTTGCGTTGTTCCCCCTGAAGAGAGATATTGAAATGCGTTTATCTTGTCATACATTTCTGAAGATGTGATAAGGCAGCAAGCGCCCGCACCGAAGACACCCGACTGACCGGTTTCTGACTGGTTTTTGGCTTGAGAGCAGGCTTCTTCTGCTGTGACTCTGCGTTGACAGCTGAGCGGTCAAGCACATCATAAATGGAACGTGGTCGTGGCTCAAGACTCTAAAACATATTTTCTTATCAGTTGAAAAGAGAAAAGGGACAACGATAATGAATGACCTGAATGTGCCTCCACCCACGGGCATACTTACAGCATAGAGGGATGTGGAAGAAGCTATTATTACACCCATACCGTCATCCTCAGGCTTTTCTGCTTGTGTTCGTTCGTTGTTCTGCTTTCGATCGGTGCTCGGATTGCCACACTTGGGGATTTGTTTTTTCTAAAGTTTGGAGGGGGGAAAAAAAACACGTGCTTGCAACAAAATAAATAAATAAATCATTACAAACATTTGCAAAGTCATGTTGGAGACCCTTTTTTAAATTGTGGCACGTTGACTAGTAGTACCCTCAGGGGATGGAGTTGACTCTAACTTCAGACACTATGATTCGACTTTGTTGAAGAGAATGAAAGAGAAACACTGCTCAGCTGAATGTGTAAAAGAGCTCCGCTATTGCAACATGCCTTTAAATAAGAAACCTTGGAAACCGAGACTGCAGATAAGGCCCAACTTACCCAAGTTCCTCTGAAGACATACACAGAGCTGAGCACACTAAAAACCAGCAACACACCACAGAAGCAGGCCACCACGATGAAGTCGGTGTAGTCCACCATAGCGAGATCCCTGTAGCCTTCATCTGGAAGAATACAACTTTCATGACATATTTAGAATAGGATACAGGAATGATTATTGGTGGGCAGAAACAGAAACAAAATAAAATGTTGACCAATGATTGCTTTACTTTCCTCGTGACATTAAATAATGGACACAATTGTGGGCAACGGGTCATGACATGGTCCTGTAGTATTCCTACTTAGGACAAATCCACCATCACTGATATGCACTTAGACGAATGAAGCTTTGGTCAATCTGGGATATTGAACATCAAGGAAACAAGTGCCTCCCTTCTGTCACTTTAGAAGGTAGCAGAGTGGTTTCAAATGCTGCATTTACCTATTTTAGTTACATGACAAACATTAGAATGACTTACGGTGTTCAGTCTGAGTATGACGCAGCGCAGTTTTACACCACGACAACCATAATCAGAAACACTTTCTGACAATAGCAATTTCCTATGAGCCTTGAGAAGGCAAAATTGCGTAACTCTTGTATTGGATCTCATTAAACGGAGCAGATGTGCCTTATTCCCAAGTGTTACATTCATAATGCCTCCTAGGCAAGTCTGTAATTATTTAACAATAATAACAACAACAAAACTGTTAAGGGAGCAAAACAGTCCAAGGATGTTTCCTTAAATAAGAAATTGGCCAGAAATACGACTCTGATTTACATTACGTTACATGCTGGGGGTGGGGGGGTTCTTCTGTTGTGTGCTTTCCAGTGTCTGTCCTTGTGGATGTTAAATAGCTTGCAGGCACACATCAGCCCGTTTGTTCAGTTAAAAGGGTTCGATGTCTGGCAGACTTTACGATCAGTGAAGCCATGTAACGTTAACGAGCAGAGAGGCACGCAAAACTGCAAACAACTCCAATAATCAAGTATGTGGCTTGATTGTAAGTTTCACTTAGAAATATCCACTAATTTGCAACAGCATTGTGTACAATTTATCAACTACACTGGTAAAAATAAATAAATAAATAAAAATAAAAAGCAGGCTGAATGTACACTTGCAACAAATGTAAATTTTCAAGAGCAAATACACTATGTTAAAAAAAAATCATATTTCTCTGTATAATGAACAGAAAACTGTTGTATAAATGTTGCAAAACTGTCATAAGAAAAGTAATACAACACAGCCAAAATATAAAAATGACAATATTAAATTAACATTGTTTATCATCCCATCCACAATGAGGGTTTCCCAAAATAATGTAAAAATAATGATTATTTCTGGTCACAAATACTTACGTAATTGCTATCATATTATATTAAATTGATCAATTCTGTCGACGAGAACAAAAAAAGAGATTGTTCTTTTCCCAGTCACTGTGCTTCTCAGATATGACTTGAATAAATGAGCCGGATTCAAAATACAACGTCGTATCCTCACAAGGGTATCAAGCATAATGGAGCCTATCCCAGCTGCCTTCGGGAAGCAGTTTGGGGTACACCCCGAAGTGGTTGCCAGCCAATCGCAGGGCACACATAAACGAACAACCATTCACACTCAACAATCACACCTGGGGACAATATAGAGTGTTCAATTAACCTACCGTGCATGTTTTTGGAATGTGGGAGGAAATCGGAGGACCCGGAGAAAACCCATGCACGTTTCAGTATCATGCATTAGAAGAGTCACCTATTCAGCAGCAGCGTAGTGTAAACAAATGCCTTTCTCTGCACATTGGCTTGTCTGTACTCACCTTTCAGTCGAAGAAACAAGTACGCTTTGGCCCCCTTATAATGGCAATGATATTCTCCGGAACTCATGAGCATTTTCAGTTGAATAATGGCTTTGTTGGTCACCGCATGGCCTTGAGTTGCAGGAACTTTGTGTTTAAAAATCATCTGGTTATAAGGGTCAAAACACGCCAAGGTGTCTTCACTTTGGTTCGTCGGGATGTTCAGCTCATAAGGAACGTGGAGATCTTCACCCGTGAAACCCACAAAGACAGTGTCGAAAAATAATAATTCTGCGGGAACAAAGCAAAATGCAACATACATGTACAATAAGAGATATGATGGATATTTGTAGGTGGCTTACTTGGCTCTCCAGTCCCTGCGCATAAAGGAAGGAGCATTTTGAGAATCCAATTCAGCATAGGAAAGAAATGGCGATGTTGTCGTAATGCCATGTTTTATAAGGTTTTCATTCTCCACCATTTATTCTCCCCTCTGGCAGCTCTCAGTTACCCAGTCTCACTAAACTGACAAATGGGACTTCCTGTTTCTGGGAAGTGCACTTCCTGAAAATATTAGTTGCTCTGTGTGAACTCACAGAGGACAGGAAATAGACACGGCCCTCATGATGTCGATCATTTTAAAGCATTTCACGTCACAAAGGTGCAAGAAAGAAAAATTACACCTTTGGGAAAAAAAAAGTACAATCGGGCCCTGTTTTCATCCCCAACGCAAGTCTAGTATAAAGCCCAGTCATAACTGCGTGCGTGGGTAGATTTTTCTGTCATTTGGTATTTTGCTAGACTAGCACAGATAGAAGAGGGCATTTGCGCCATTGTGGGAGGGAACACAGCAGACTCTCAGCCAATCAAAGAAGCTCCCAGCTCATTTTCTTTAAATTCACCACAGAGAGAGGCACACGGTCAACATGGTTTAAGGACTAACTGGAGTCTATGCCGGAGAGCGATGCGCGTAAATTGCATTTACAGTAAAAGGAACTGCAAGATCCCCACTTGTGGAATTCCAAATCTGTCTACCGGCGCCGCGATCAAATACACCAAATTCACATTCACCACCTGCCTACCATTTAGACCTGCTAACATTGAAACTACTTTTTCTCACCAAACTGGCAAAGTGCACCAGGGAAGTGTAATAGAAAATGTCCTTGGTCTGCCGGAATGCATACCGACGTGCAGTGCGGTCAGCCAAATTCACAAACATGCTAAGCTAGACTTGCCCCTGTACAAAAATAAATGGAAATGCACCCGTTTTTAGTCCACTTCCTGTGATTAAATTATCAGGTGCGTCGGGGGCGCGGTATAGACATCCACTCTATTAATCACAGGTGTCAAACTCAAAGCTGTGGGGGGGGCTGCCCACATCCGGCCAACCACATCATTTTATGTGGCCGGCCAAAGTAAATCTTCGGGGTCTATTTCATGTTTCTCAAAAAAAAAAAAAAAAAAAAAACACTCTCAAGTACAGTTTCTAAAAGAAGTTACTTAGTACATGTAAAGGACAATATGCAGCTGGTCACTAGCCACCTCTGAGACATACTGTGAATGTGTGTGTGCGCGTCTGTGAGGAATTCCACACAGGGAGACAAATGGCCTGTCACTAATGCAGACCAGCTGTGAATTGGGGCAAGATTCCGTCACCGCAATCATTTTCTTTCTGTGAGGCGTGGAAGTTCGTTCCTTCCTTTTGTCTTTTCCTTTCCTCCGGTGACACTGTGCAGCTCTTTGTAGGCTGATATTCCACTTTTTCCTTTCCGTTAAATTTCTCTGCGGACGGGTACGTGTTTGTGTGTTGGTGTCCAACTGTGATCTCACCACAGCCTGCACACCATGATAACACACACAAACACACACATCAAACACTGCTATGACATCTGGATGCCAGTTAGAAATGAACTAGTCATGCAATTTTTATATCACGCATCAACTGGGCAATATTAAAAACACAATATCTACCCTATCCTATCTACCCTTCATTTCCATGGAGACGGGCCCTGAGCGAAGGCTGCTACGGAGCACATTTTAGCCTGCTTTGTACATTGCTCCATCTGCTTCGACGCCGCTCCATATGATTGGAATCCAGATCAATAATTTTAAGTACCGGTACCCTTTTATCTACCAGTACCGTACTTGAAAATGCATTGGGATTCCAATGATTACATTTTGTGCAACAAGTTGACGAAATAAAATTGCGTAAATTCAACCAAGATTTTTGTCAGTGTACTGTTTGCTTGATCACTGAATAAATTCCAGATAAAATCTGCGGTGCATGAATTAATCTCCTTAAAGTGGGGAAGCGGTGCATATTTACAATAACTTGACAAGTAACCCTTAACATGGAGCAGCTAACATACGTTAACATTTAAAGCAATGCCCAATTAATATTACAAATATTGTAAATGACAATACCAAATACTCCATCCTCTGTCTGATTGATATACTGCTCGCTCTCTGGGTGGAAGGGGACAAATTTATTGATGTGGCCCCAGGGAACTTTATAAATGTGTCAAAATGATCAAAACTATCCAGAGCAGAGAAGAAAAAAAGAGGAGGAAAAATGTGAGAAAGACAGATCAAGTTGTTGCTCTTTTGGGTTTGTGTAATTAGATGTCACTTGCGTGATTTGACAGTTACAAAACAGTTCTCTTATAAATTAAATGCAATGTTAAAAATTCAACTCCTCTTTTAAGCCTACGTAAACGTTTGTGGGGGCGCCACATTCAATCTCACCTATGGGGCGTGACGTTGGCTCGGGCTTTTGATGATGAAGATTCTCTTCGGTGGCTCTGCTCTTCCATACAAGTAGGCGCGGTAAGTTAATAAGACGAGGATGGGCTCAACTCATGACCGTTACGTAGGCAGAGGGAGTGAAAGTTGGGAGGCCTCCACAGAAGTGTTTTCCGAGCATCATTGGAGCCGCTCAGGGAAAGGAAGCAAGGCAAGTCATTGAAAGAAAGAGGCAAAACAACGGAAAGAAGCGATCAGTTGATGAAGAAGCTTTGTGCATCTTTACCTTTAGAAAGTGTGAGTATGTTTTCTTATCTTCTTGACAGCATCGGAAACCGAGCTCTGTCTTGACTGCAAATACTTTATATACAAAAAAAAATGCAGTTATGTATTTATCAATCGACAAGGCAATCATTTCAAGGCGGCACATGGTGATGTGACATGTTTTCTCCAGATGTGAAACACGCTGCACCAGATGACTGTTTTCCTCTCGTTTTCACTCGATTTTCTCTCCACCTTCGTGGTGTCTATAAATCTGTTTTAATACCTCAACAATGAGTCAGTCGCTTACTATGATCCAGTGTGATTAACACTCCCCGTTATGAGGATGCATGCACTACCTTCCACGCAGATGTGCTGTGCCGAATATTATGGCAAGTGACTGCATGTGTGCGTCAGGTCAAACTTCAACTGGCTAAGTTACCATATTTCCTCAAATTGACCTGCTCTAATAGATGCTGTGCTCCAATTTCTTGCTGGGCGAGTCATCCACATGAATAAATTGAGTGAGAGCACAGATGCTGTAAAACAAGAGGGAATAATGACATATCCATCCATCCATCCATTTTCCGATCCGCTTATCCTCACATGGGTCGCAGGGGGTGCTGGAGCCTATCTCAGCCATCTTCGGGCAGTAGGCGGGGGACACTCTGAACCGGTTGGCAACCAATCGCAGGGCACACAGAGACGAACAACCATCCGCGCTCACACTCACATCTAGGGACAATTTTGGAGTGTTCAATGAGCCTGCCATGCATGTTTTTGGAATGTGGGAGGAAACCGGAGTACCGGGAGAAAACCCACACAAGCCCGGGGAGAACATGCAAACTCCGCACAGGAAGGCCGGAGCTGGAATTGAACCTCTGCACTGTGAAGTCGACGCATTAACCACTGGTCCACCGGGCCGCCCTATAATGACACATTTCTACATTATTATGTTATTAAACAATGAAATTCTGAATATGAATCGAATATCACCATAAACAGTCACTGATGATGTTGAGGTTTATTTCATCTGCCTTCCATGCATGCCGCAAGGGTTCAGTTTCCACTCAGGTTCAGTGTGAATCGTGGTCTGTCTCGATATGTGCCCTGTGATTGACAGGCGACCAGTCCAGGGTTTATTCTTTCACCCAACGTCATCTGGGCCATCTGGGTCATACTCATTGAGTTGATTTGTTTCATGCAAAACCTGTTCCGCTATTTTGCTTTCATTTAAGTGCTCCGTGTGCTGACCATGAATCCTCACTTGCCATTGATGGTGCTGATGGTGGTTGCCATGGTAACAGGGGCCCACTCAAATCATCAGGACAACAAACTGGATTATGGAGACTGGAACTACAGAGAAGGAGGTAGAACGTCACCGAAACAAGTTAGATTGCATGCTTGTCGTGGGATCTTCAAGTCCAAGTGTGTGTTTGTGTCAGTCGACAGAGTTAATGTGGCTTCGGTGCGCAGTTTGACCAAAGTTCTGGATGCATGGGGGAAAGGTATTTTCAAGGAAATCAAGACTTTGCTGCTTTCCAAACCCAACACACTGCTCCCCGACTACTCCAGGTAATTTTAGGTACTAAATAATCTCTTAAAACCTTGCGTTGAGCATTTTGTTGAGCCACTTCACCACCAGTCACCAAACCAAACATTTGACTGAAATGAATGTACGGTACGGCACTGCTTTTGATCACGCAATTGTCAAAGGACATTTAGTCCTGTGTAGCCGATATACCAGATTGCAAATGTTATAGATTTTGAAGATGAACACTTGCTCAGTGACCACAGATCATTGTGGAGAAAATGCACAGATTAAATGTAGCGGTAATAGATTTTAAAGTAGCGAAGTAATGTACCGGTATGTATGACATGGTGAGCGTGGTCACCTCAGAATCAAGAGGCAAAGTGAACGAATTCTACTACTCTACTTATCCAACTCGACTCAGGTAGAGGTTGCATGTTCTCCCTGTTCACATGTTGCTTTTATTTGACTATGCGTGGTTCCTCCGACATTCCAAACACTTGCTGGTCCAGTAAGACTAGGGCTCAATTTTTGTGACCGACATAAACCTGTCACGGCGCATCTCCAGGCAGATGCAAGTTGGACCTAATGTTGGTAATTTCACAGACGACTGCCATCTGGCGGATCTGTGAGAGGGACGGTGCGGGAGTGGCTACAGCCAACTTCAATCAGAACCAATCAAAGCAGCTCCTGTCATGAGCCGAAACTGACTTTGGTCGAAAGGCAGATGAAAACCCTGGACCGGGCGACAGTCAATCACATACAGGGACAGACAATTATTCAAACTCACATGCACACCACCACAAAGTAGGAACTGAACCCATGCCTGGAAGTCAGGGTTATTGAACCATTACACACCATCAGTAACTTCTCATTATTTTATAGCGTATCCTCGGCCCTTCTTTCTGCAGGGTGCGTCCTTTATCAGAAACCATCAACGATCTGTTCAGAGAAGTCATCATGCTGCATCAGCGCATCACAGAGCTCTCCCATCGCCTAGCAACCATGGAACCGTTCTTTCGTCACCATGGCTACAGTGAGGAGAGGCTTGGGGATGACCTGTCTTTGGGGCGTCAGAGCCTGACAGGTGAGGTGGCGAGCCTGGCCCGCTACAAAACAAGCGCATGGGTGAGGGCCAGCCCCGAGAAGGCGAGCCGGCTGGTGAGGAGGCGGCGGGTGAAGGTGTTGAACAACGGCGACGTGATGGTTGTGCATAGTGCACAGTGACAGCTCGTGGCCAGAACAGAGAAAAGTTTGAGAATTTACAAATAAGTTCTAATTTTTTATTCTTTCATGATTTTATAATTTTAATGTAATTAAATTTACATTCAAAATGAATTCACAAATGAATTAAAGTGTCTTGTCTGCTTTTTCTATATGACAATATAACAAAATTAAATCCAAATTACATAAAGCAATTGACTAGTGCTGTTGTGCTTGGACGCAATTCACACTTAGTGATGCGGTGAATGTGAATGCTTGCTCGTGACCTGTCCCGAGTGTATTCTGCCTTTCAGTCAGCTGAGATAGGTTCCAGGTTCTTGCAGTCAATTTTTTTCTTGAGGACAATTGGTTTTGAAAATAGAAAGATAAATAATTTAGGGGGGGGGGGAAATGTCACAAAACTACTTGGTCTAGGCTTCAGCCTTTATAAACTGGATGGATGAGTGTTAAAAAATATAATAATAGTGAAATAAAATGTAAAACATGCTGTGCGATTGACAGGTGACCAGTCCAGAACGTAACGAGCCTTTCACCCCAAAATCAACAACCGTGACGCAAGTGAGAACAAACACGATCGAAAATGGATGATTGGGTCAATTTAACTACCTGATAAAGTTGTAGCCTTTTTGCTATGGCTTTAATTTAAATATGTTTTTGTCAAAACATAAATCACATCAAATGTTTTTGAATCCGACCAATTCAAAAATCATGCTTGAGACGTGATTTAACAAATTAGAGTCCAGATTGTTGCCTTTGCTATGCCACATGTTGCCACAAGGTGTCAGCGATCACTTGGCCATGAGACACAAGAAGGGACAACCACATTTTGAAACGACGACTGATTGCACCACACGAGTTATTTCAACGGCTTTGGACTATGATAATTGATAATATCTTGATAATAATTGTGTTCACATCGTATCTTAAATACACGCTCTACATTAGTGCGCAGTGAGAGATCATCAGGTGTGCCGCGGGAAATTACCCAATGTCAAAAAGGTAATTATTTATTCATTAAAAAGATTTTTCAATGCCAACCTCATATGACAACAGGCAAAACAATCAATTTCTCTACCACTAGATGACAGAAGGTACATAATTAACCTGTTCGGCCACCTTTTGTGAATCTTTTTGCTCAGTTTGTGCTGTGAGATTTTTAATTATTTATTTTTTTGTGACGTGAAAGAATGTGGCTTGGCTCAATAAACGTTGGGAAACAGTGTTATGTTTTGACCTTTACTCAGCAGGTGACTATTTTCCGTTACAAATATGACAGTGGACACACACACACACACACACACACACACACACACACACACAAAACTTGAAGCCTTCGTAAACTTCGCATCCCTTTCCCCTCTACCTCCACATTTCCACTAGTGGCCCATTCCTTCTTTCTCTGCTCCATTTCTGTTAAAATCTGCCCTTTTTACGCCACACTTCCTCATGTATTAACCCATACATGATACACGCAGCATCCTCACATAGCTCCCTCTCATCTTCCTCCTCTTCTCTCTCCTGTGCACGCTGACACATGTGGGCGTTAAGATCAGGCTGTGCTTTCCATTTTGGTTTTGCTATTGTCAATGCATTGTTGCATCCGATCCAGTTAAGATGCTGTGGGAATACTGTTTAAATCTCTCTCTCTCTCCCTCTCCACCCTCCACTCCTTCCACTGCCATCTCTGGAAAAGGAGCCAGTTGCTAGGTAACAGTTAATTGTCAAGAAGTAGTTACATGTGTTGCAATGCACGGCGAGCTTGTCGGCCTGATGATGTTGGCAGAGAACAAGTGAGCAGAATAAGACGCTGATGGAGAGATTGTTACGTTAAAAAAAAACAAGTTGGAAACTGATGACAAGGGATTAGCTCAGTGAGCGTGTTGTGCTCCAGTAGATGTAAAGATCTGCCCACATAAGGGAGGCAGTGGTACATGTTAAAACCTGCTGCTTCTTTATATATCCCATGTTGCTGGACAAGGCTTTCAGAAGAAAGCACATCTGAGGAATAAGGGGGTGTTGTTGGAGCGCTTTGATGTCAGCATCGGTTCCCTCAATATGCTTATGTACTTTTACAACAGCATTGCCAATTCTGAAACCTACTGTAATTTTGAGGTGGAAAAACCTTTATCTAATCTCTTTTTTTTTTTTTTTTTTTTTAGATGAATAGAAAAAGCAAAAGAGGTATGGATTGGATTCATCAAATAAACATACTGTAACGACTAATTTTTGGGAGAGGACAACTCATTTTGATGAAGCAGGATCCCCAACAGTGTGTTGGTGTTGAGTGGCAGAAATGTTCCACGCAGCTTACGCAACATCAACTGTTTATCAAGTTTTTAAAAAAAAATGATACCCAATTTAAAAAAAATAAAAATAATAAGTACAATTCAATGTCTCAGATTTTAGAAGATCTAGGGTTCAATTTAAAATGTATTATAGTGAATGATAACATTTTGAAAATGTTTATTGGGATCATTTTTGTTTTATATCAGGAAACCTTACTTGGGGTGTGCACACTTTTCATATCCATTGAAAAGCAGTATTAAGGAACATGAATATATTTGTTCAAAAATAGTATTGATAAAGAAAGTTGAAATGAAATGAGAATCATGTGTGGGATTTCACTTTATTTTTTTATTAATACTCAACACTTTTATTCCAAAGAGACAGAAGAATAATGTTTCTCAGAACTTATCCGCACATCAGCTGTGTGTTTTAATCTCATTATTCAAATATTACTAAATATTCCATCAAATCCGAAATACTTTCTTCACACAAGTAATTCATTTGCATACAAAAAAAGTGATGGTTAACAAGATTTGGAGTCATATGTACATTTTTCACAATCTGTACAGCTCTGGGATGGTGTTTGATCGTCTGAGGCCCAAACGGAACAAAAGTGGAACGACATTGTGCTTCCCATGGATCGGTTGGTGCAGACGCTCTCCTCCCCGTCAAAACAAACCGAGCAAACGCGCACTTTCCGTCACTATAAACAACTGCACATTAACGTGTCCTGAAGTAGTTACAAAAAGAAATTTGCAAGGGGCACCTACGAATCACAGATTTATCCCAAATAGACTTTTTTATCTGCCGTTTTGTACATATATTTTTTTAAATATCAAAAATCCATGAGTGCCTCTATTTACACGGAGTTGTATAATACATATAAAAGAAGTGTGTATTCCTCACTCAGGCTGTCTCTCGCACACACAGAGGTAATCAATCTTACAAATTCAGGCACCTACGACAACAGAAATCATGTATTGAATTTTTTTTTTTTAAAGCAGAAAAAGAGGAAAAATATGAAAAAAGGCTTTTTCAGTGACTGTGAGCAAAACCTCCAACTTGTTCATGGACATTTGGCCAACACAAGCATTAATTAGTTTTGAAGATTGAATGTCTTGCTGATCTGGCGGTATTCTTTTCGATTTTGGTGTGTTAGATTGGTGTTTTCTCTTGCAAGGACAAGCACACGCACACACTTACACGAACACTGATCCAGTACCAATGACATTTCTAAAAGGTACGCTTTCAAAAAACATCCAGTTTGTTGGCCCAAAAAGTTAAAATCGTAAAAGCATAAAGAAAGAAAAGCGTAGACATGCAAACACTTATTATCATACATACTGACTTGTCCAGTGATCTGTATAAAGTTGCTCTCAATTTTTAAATGGGGTGGACAAGAAACCACTCTATTGTGTGCGCCATATTTAAATATGGCCTGGAAAAAAAATTGCATTTTTGACGGATTCAATTGGTCCATCGGGTAGGGGAATCATTTTCGAAAGTGATGTCACTCGGATGAAATCAAAGGAAGTTCAACATGGGGGGGGAAGAGGATTAAACATAGTGGGACCGTGAAAATCAAGTCCCCTTGATGTTGAATCGTAAACGAGCAGATGGAGGAAGCTTTTATTGGTCCAAATGCGTTTTGGGGATATTTACCAAAATTACTTGTAATATTTTTAAGAAGCACAAAGAAAGGACTAGTCACTGTCATGTAATGACGTGAGCAAACTAATTTACTCTCAGGGCTCTATTTTGTGAAATGGCATATAAATCCTGCGTGGTGCTGGTAATTTCGTAGATGAGAGCAGGCTGGTGGATCTGGGAGAGGGATGGCTGCGCCATTGTGGGATTGGTTATGACTATTTTAAATCATGGACCCCCGTCTCCCCTTTAGCTGTGCCGCCCACTGAGATGATTTAAAACGTGTAATGATTAGATTGTCACTCTGCCACGCCCATCTTCAATGACCCTACCGAGGCTGCACTCGTTATGTTAGTTCACTCAAATGTAAATACAGTAGGCCTTGTTATCTATTAGATATAAAATCAAATTAACATGTAGAGCTGCTAACTCACGCCACAAGTGCCTTGGCTAGTAAACATAAAAGGCAACAAGCAGGTGATCAGTTATGCTAAAATTAATATGATGGGGATAATGTAATCAATAATAGTGGGTTTTTTTTGTGTTTGGCAGAGAGGAATGTTTTTTTTTTCTGGCACACTGGCTCATAAATTGTACCTATTTTAGAGGATCAGTGTAAAAATGCTCTCTACTGCAACATTTTTGTATCTTCCTTAAGAAACAACATCTGACATCTTAATTTAACCTCACCTCGCCTGAAACTTTGTCGTCCTCGCAACTTTCTTTTACACGTGACTCCTGTGATGGAAATTTCAGCAGCGGCGGGAACCAATTGCCCGGAGGTGAAACGTGAACATGAATCCTTTAAGGCACATCCAGCTCGAAATGTGAGACCCTTTTTGTTGCTGCTGAGCGGAAAGCAAAAAAGCGAAATGGAAGGGCAAATCGGTGTGATGATGGAGGTTTCCGCAGCTGAAAAAAAGTAAGCCAATAAGTACATTGTACTTAGCAAGTCATGCCTTTTCGTCACATACACGTCACAATACTCAAAAGTTTTGAAAAGTAAATGAATCAATAAATAAAATATGAAGGAATAATTCATTGCAAAGAAGAATCCAAAATGACAGGAGCACCCAAAATATTCAAAGTGGTCCACAATTCTCCTGTGAAGTTGGTAAGCAAAAGAAACAATCAACATCATACAAACACTAGTTGAATAAATAAAATTGAAAAACAAACCAGTCATCTCGAAACAATTTAGTAGTATTCGCTCATAATATTAACACGAATGGTACAATTATTGTGAATTTACCCTGTTGCTTCAGCAGTGTTGATTTCTCATTCATGATTGATTGTAAGTACCGTTGTGAAAGCAAAAAAAGTTTTGGAACTATGAGCTTATAAAGAGAGCAGCTCCTCCGTCTGTCTTTCCCTACCTCCTTCCTAGCACCGCAATCCTCCCTTGTCGCTGAAAACTTGCCGTCCACGGGACTCGACCACAGTCTGGCTTTGAGCAGCCGTCGCGTATCGTCCAGAGGGTTGCGTTTAGTGGCATGAGAACGAAACCCACTCGTGTCGTCACCTTCTCTTCGCGCAAAGAGGCCATTGCACTGCGCTGTTTTTGTTGTTGTTGTTGTTGTTGTTGTTCTCCGTTTTCCTTATTTGTCTTCGCCCACTTTGTTGCTTCTCTTCTCCCCCTCAGACGTCCGACTCTATGCTGGAGAGCTTTTCATAGACGTGTCCATTGCTTGCACCATTGAAGGGTCTTTGCCCCAAACCTAACGTGTCCCGGCTGCCGGGCATGAGCTTGTTGACCCCGAGGTGGTTGCTCATGGGACCGCCCGCCCCGCCCATACACAGATCTTTGGGGAACCTGGGGGCTACATTGGCCATCACCCCTGCCGTGGCCGACGCAGGCAAATAAGAAGTCGCCCCCATGGAGCCCCGGAAGTCCCCTCCTCCTCGGCTGTTGTTGAGTAGCTGCTGCTGCTGTTGCTGCGTCTGTGGCTTTTTGATGTAGTACGGTTTGGCACCGTGTAAAAGACACTGGTCATCGCCGAAGGTTGGGATGAAGGGGTTCTGGTTCACCTTATCTGGGTAGAGAGATTTAGACAAGGAGTAAGTCCCGGCGCCTCTGCCACCACCACCACCACTACCGCTCCCACCGCCCATCATAGCCCTGTCCCTGTCCCTTAGGTCTCGCTCCCCCACAGACCGCCGGTGCAACCCACCTTCGCCTCCGCGAAACAAACTAAAGGAGGAGCCTCCTTGCGCCCTGTCTCCGCCTATTCCTCCAAACATGGGAGACTCTCTTTCCCCTGCGTACCTCTCAAACATCTGAGCGTACGGGCTGGGGCCCTCCATGTAGCGGTCTTTGTCTTTCAGACTCACGCTGCGGGGCTGGGCAAACTGGCCGCCGACGCCCCCGCCAGCCCCGCCCCTACGACCTGACCCCTCCCTCTGCAGGTCGACAAATGTGTCATAAGAATGCTGCCTCCGTAAGACCCGCCCACCCGGCCCAAGCTTCCTGCTCTGAGTCGGCGTTTGGCCCATGTTGCTTTTCCCTGCAGCAAACACGACGTTGTTATCCTCGCTGATGTTGTAGAGGTTGCTCGGCTGAATCTTACAGGAGTCACAGCGCTTGCAGCTCGCGGAGCTGGGGCGAACGCTGCTCGCCCCAATTCCACTAGCTGGGCAGGAGCTCCCCGCCGCTCCGCTGTGGTGACACACACTGTGGCAGTTACGACACTCCCAGTCACCACCAGCTATGCCACCTCCTCCCAGTCCGGAAACGCCCTTCTCCCAGCAGGTGTGGGCCTGCTGGCCAGCCGACACTGAGCCAAGGCCACCTTTCAACTCCTGCTTCTTGCATTTACTTTTGAGAAAGTCCTCCACAGGAACTAAGCTTTGACAGATACCACCACCGCTACCGACGCCCACACCACTTCCTCCACTTCCACCCTCTTGCTCCCACTTGCCCTCCTTAGAGCGGAATTGTTCCGCATAGAATTCCCTCAAGTTCTCTTTGTCTTTGCGGAATAAGTAAGGTGAAGCGTTACCCCCTCCTCGCTTCCGCTCCAGGGGAGGTGAGATGGTGCGGTGTGCCAGTGGCCCGTGAGGGAAGTGGTGGTGGACGGTGTGGTGGTGGGGTCTCCTTCGGAAGCCGCTCAGCTCTATCTCGTCTTGCTCCCGCCTGCACTTGGCAGAGGCTGGCCTCTTTTTCAGGCTGTCCCTGTACTGCTTATGCCGCTTGGCGTTGCCCTCCAGGTTGCCGTAGGTGACCGTGTGAGTGGAGATATCCGACACGTCCGAGCGGATGTTTGCGTCGTCACCCCCCGAGCCTCCCCCACCCCCACCTCCACCGCAGTACCTCTCGTGACCCCCGATGAGCCCCGTACTGGATGCACCTCCTTTGAACGAAAACCTCCCGTACACATTGCTTCCCTTGAACCCAACTTGATTGGAATCCGCGGGGGGGTGACCTGCAATCAGGTCAAACTTATTGGTATTCCTGTGAGTCATGGAGGGGCGGGGCTGGGTGGTGAAGATGGGTGCGACTCCTCCCCCTAAACTTTCGCAATCGAACATGCCCCCTTCCAATGAGCTAGCACTGCCTAAGCTACGCGGCCTATTAGGTGGGGGGCCCGACATACCCAAAGCTGAGACTGGGTGGTGGTGCCGGTAATGGTCCTGGTACAAGTTGTTGTCCTTCAGGGGCAAATTCCCAAAAGTCCTCTCCACCTCGCTGATGTAGTCAGTGAACCTGTTGTCCTCTTGCATGTAGGGTGGTGCGGACTTGCAGTCCGCAGGGTGCCCTACGATGCTGCGGCGGTGCTCCTGAATGTCATAGATGGCCGATTCACGGCCACCATGGTTGTACTCCAGGGCCGCGTGCGGAGAGCCATTAATGCCCGGCACTGCAGTCATGTCTTTGGCAGTGCGGAGCAACCTCAAGATGTTTGAGTGGGTATTGTTCATGTTCTTCTTGATGGATGATGAAGGTGAGTCTATGGTTGATTTGTTTTCCTCAATTTGTACTCCGTGTATGCAGCTGTAGATACCCTGGAGCATGGGAATTGGAAATGAGCCGGCAGGTGAAGGGAGACGGGAAGGGTAAGAGAGATGAAGTGGGAGGAGAAGGGAAGAAAAGTGAGAACAAGAACGAGATGAGCAGTAAAAAAGAAGTCGAGTACCAAAGACTTCATAATTTAGACGGGGATTAGTGAAAGTGCCTGTTAAGACTGGTTGGTTAACTCTTAATTCCGAAGAAGTGCAAGCACTTGAGTGTGAAGTCAAGTGTATGAGAGAATTTGCAGCTCTGCTGGGGCCATTTATACAGCAGTTTTTCTTTGGATTTGTTTCTTATTATTGACAATGGATACAAACAAACAATGTGATTCTGGACCATTATTTTTTGCATGTTTAGAACATTATAGAGCCTGTTAACATTTTTTTTAATTCAGAATAGGAATTCTGGAAACGGCAATTGTTTCCATCTATGCACTGAAAACAGAAACCGATGCAGGTGTTTAATTTGGGCTTAGACTGCAACAGTATCACACTCCTCCAAAGTGTCCATTTATTACACAGCTACCGTATCCTAATATTCAGTCTCATATACGTTGTTGAAAAGTAATCATGGATGGTTTTGGATTCGTTGCACCTCTCGTGTACGTGCAAGTGTCTTAACCTCCTAAGACCCGAACTCTTGCAAGGCATGCATTTTTATTTTATTTTTATTTTCTCTTTGATATTTAGGCTAATTGGGACCTGATGAGTGTACAAACAAAGAACTATCTTTTTATATGATGTAACGTCCTCGTAAGTGGACGCCAGGCCCTTGTAGTCCAAAATTTAATATTGTAGTCTTGAAAACCAGAAACGTCATGTCCACACATGTGGACGCCAGGTCCCAGGAGGTTAAAGAGGGATGTTGCCACCTACTGGCCTGGCATGCATATTACACGACTTACTGACAGACGTTTCACTTCACCTCATTCGTCAAAATTCACATGATTTGTTGTCTGTATGGAAAACAGTTAGACGATGCTTCTGATAGTCCTGTCAGCTACACTCTTTCAAATCTGAGCGGTCAAAGGCCGGTGAGCCACAAGACGGAACCAAATATGTTTCCTCAAAGGCATTTCACCGTTTGTGAAGGAGTTATTGTTGGCTACAGGATGTACAGTATACTTTACATCAACCAGTGATACCTGACAGTTTTCTTTATTCTTCTTGTGTCTGTTTTATCTCTGTTTCTGGGTGCTTGGGTGAACGGCAGCTGCTCTCGTGGGAATGTTTGATCTGATCTCTCTACATCTAGAGCTACTATGGCTGCTCTGAAATATAACAGAATAGAGGTTACCAGCACACCAGGGTCTTTTCCTGCCAACTCTTTGCCTTGCTACTAATTCCATTTTCCATCCTTTATCATTTTTGTCATTTAAATAATATATATCAATACGTATAATGTTTTTCAAATGGATACTAGGCATGCTGAACCACTAAATATCAAATCCGATTGAGAGCATAGATAAAAGCCTGATGCACTCCTTGAAAAATATCACACTTTAAAAGCAATCAGAGCAAATTTGTGGCCTCACACTGCATATGGCCACCAGACAAAAGAAAGTGTTCAAGTGCTCAATGCCAATTCTAAGGTCAGTGTCAGTGGGCGTTAAACAAAATGACAATTAGAAACTATTTCAGCTTGCACACAAACACACAAACACCGGTGTCCTTTTGTTTGACAAATGATAGCTGAGAGCGTTCGCGTGCAACAACCCTCGCGCTGAAAAGGTAACATTATGCTAATGAATTACCTCTCAAATGGCTATTTCTGGGGAACCAAACAACCCGCAATAACACTAAGACACCTTGTTAAATGACCCGCCAAAGAAACACTGTAAAGTACTTTCAACTCTTGCGACAGACTTTTAGATCACGAGCTGCAAACGTGCCACGAAGCCAGTACATGTCATTTCAACCTTAACTCGATTAGCAGTTCACTCTGTCATGACCAGAAAGACTTGGACTTCTGTTGTGTTCGAACATTTTTGTTCGGGAGTGAGTGTAGTGCTCATACGTCGACATGATCTGAAAATGGATATGTTGACAGTAAGGAACCAGCAAGAAACAGCAATCTGAATGTAAAAATAAAACTACAATGGCAGACGATGCGTAATTCTCCAAAACAGACAAATGTGTGATGAGGAATCCAAAATAACACACATGTACACTCACCCTGCTAATCGAGAAGGTGACCCCGGGCTTTCCGGAACACACGCCCATGAAGCAGAAGCGCAGCTGCCAGTAGAACAAATGTTCACAGATGAAGGTGATGAGTGACAGAACCATGGCGGCCCCGAGCATGTAGAAGACTCCCGCCATGTTGTCCACATCCAGCTGACTGCTCATAACCTCGTTCTTCTCATTGTGGCAGATACCTGTCAGCCATAATGCCTCGAACTCCTCCATCTCACCTGGAAGAAGCGGCGATACGGCATGTTTGCGGTTAGTGATATGCGAGCTCTTGAGGGAGTTTGCCTCAGGTGAGAGTGTGAGTGGGGAATAAAGGACATATTTTTTTCGGGTGGCTAGTTTTTGCCAAAAACAGCTCAGGTCTCATGTATGGGGAACAAACGTCACGTTACATTATTTGAACCCAACGCCCCGCAGAAGATCATCCTCATTACGGATTGCTTATGCAAGGCTGATCATTCTTTGTTGCGGGACAAAAAAAACCCCAAAAAACAATTGCCTACTGGGAGTTGACGGTCCACAGGGAGGAAGTTCACATGGTCATGTGAGAAGTATTTCCACCCTAAAATGTGTCCATCTTATTCCCATATCCCTGAGGGCTGCCAAGGGGGGAGGACACGTCCAGAGAGATTTGCTGGATTTGTCCCGATGGTTTGTTTTTCTTTGCTATGTGTGAGAGAGAGAGAGAGAGAGAGAGAGAGAGAGAGAGAGAGAGAGAGAGAGCGCCTAGCGAGAGTGATCAAGTGGTGAATATTCTTCCTCAATGCTTGGCTAATACGATAATATTGTTTGTGCAAATGAGCATGAATGAGTCAATTTTAGGGAGGTGTTAACTTGTTTACTTGTTTAATCTCTGTGTTTGGGATTACTTTGAGAGAGATGGCTTTGCCATTTTTTATCATGAGCACCAATGAGATTGGTGAGTTTACATGTCCATCATTATAAACAGAACTAGTGATTGGTGGGCCTGGTGACTTGTTCTGAAAGCCACCATCGGTCAGTCTACATCTCAATCGTTAAAAGCAGCACTAGTGATTGTTTGTCATGGAAAAATCTTGTCAATCTATATGTCAGACATTAGAAGCAGTACAAGTGATGGGTTAGTCATGTAAATACTGGTAAGTCTGCATATCAGTCATTTCAGGCAGCACTCGTGATTGTCAGGCTATGTGACTTATTTTTAATGCACGCATTGCTCAGTCAAAGAGTTCTAGTTCTGTGATCGTCATAAATCCTGAATGGCACCATATCAGCATTCTCAAGGCCTCACCGTCTCCGAACAGCATGAGGATGGCGAGGTCCACAGCTCGTTTCCAACCCGAGTCTTTCTGGATGGCGATGCCGTAACCGGTGGAGGCAAACACCTTGCCGCTGCCAATAGTGACCAGCTTGCAGCCCTCATCCCTTCCCGCCATGTAGTTAAGCACTGCGGCGTCATAGATGAAAGCGTCCAGTTTGCTGCCGAGCACAACAGAATTTTTTTTTTTAACACAGAACCATCATATCCCTTTCTGTCCATCCATTTCTCTATTTTTAGACTTATTAGGGTCACAGACAGCTGGACCCTTATCTGACTTTGGGGCGAGAAGCGGGCAGTACCTTTCTTTAATTGTATTCTTCATGATGATTGTTCCCCCTTTTCACTGATTGGCTGGGAGAAATCACAGGCATCTACTTGAACTGAGCAGTGTGGCCTTTTTTTGTTTACTTGGTTTTAGTAATCAAACATGGTAGCTTTCAAGTCCAGTCTCAAAACTTCTCTGTTCGAATTCTGTTATTACGATATTATATTGAGGTGAGATATTCAATCAGGCATTCCCAAATTAGGTAGCCCGAAATCGGTCAGAGGTCCATTTTTATTGGGTTGCAAATTGTTAGGCGCACGTTTTCTTGGCAAAGGGCTTTTTTGGTTGATTTTTGTTGGACTACACACATCTATTCATTCTTTATGATTTAAATGTGGGTTTTGAAGTTAAGTGCTAACAGCACATATAGATCACAAGTTAGAGACACTCCACGAACTTTCCCGATTGAACAAAATCAACTCGGAGGGATTTGACAGCTCATTGACAAGATGCTCTCCAACTTGCCGACAAACGATGCCTTTGAGCTCGAGGAATTCAGCATGATCTCTAATGGGAGGGTCACTGTCACATCAAATTTGCACTTTCAACATCAACACTGGATGAGTTATTAGTTAGCTTTGAGAGACAGTCGCCGTAACATCAGTTTGTCACTGTGCTTTATGCGAGTGCCCACCCACACTGCTCAGAGCTCTCGCTCCTTCTCGGTCTTCCTATTCTATGCCCTTCATCATATTTTCTTTTGATTGCATCATTAGAGAAACTCTTTTTTTTTTTCTTCTCCTCTCTTTCATCCCCACATCGGTCCCTCCATTCATCCTCCTCCCCTGAAGCCGCTCCCCTGTCCCCTCCTCACCCGGTCTTGAGACTGTACAGGGCCTCGTCCACATTTTTCTGGTGGAAGCTGGTCATGTAGGTGTGCATGTCCCGGTAGTTGTTGCGGATGTTGCGTTCTGTGCTCCCGTTGGGCACGGTGCCAAAGCGGAACGGCGGCGAGAACTCGTTAGGCTTCTGGAACTGTTGTTGTTGAAGTCGGGGGGGGGGGGGGGTGATGGCGGTTTCCGGAAAAAGAAACCACAAAGAGAAAATGACAGAGGAGTGCTCGTTAGCATAGAAAAGGCACTGAGACGCATCAAATAGCCTTTAATGCACTGTTGAACAGAGGACAGAACGATGCTTTGGGAAGCCTAAATGAGCTAAATGTTTGGAGTCGTGATAAGAGGGCTGACGTACATGGGAAAATCTCAAGGACTAACACGCCGTATTAAAAAGTAACATTAAAAAGTGTTCTGCAGCTCATTAAACCGAGTTTACAAATTCCTAAAAAGCACGGAAAATGACGAAGCATTGTTCCATTTTAACATCTCGTTTTTAGAAATGAGCATCCCGCTTAATTCCTCGTGTTGTTTGACGAAACAGTTTAAACTTCTTAATTGGCAGCCTAGTTAAGAAAAGAATGTGTGAAGATGAAGCACAGACATGGGAAGATAAGTAAAGGAGACAAACTCACATTTAAAAAGAGAATACATGTCACCACTTGCTATCAAAGTAAAGCATTTGGCCGATTTATAATTAAGCTTATTTGATGTAATATGAGCATCTGGGAAACGAATGACCTTTACATGAAACATTCATTAAGAGCAAAGACTGAAGGTATTGTTTTTGTTTTACTCACAATTTTTATTTTTAGGACTGTACAGTGTACATCTTCTTTCCAAAGTGATCTCATTGTTACAAATGCTTAAAATGCACGACGTCAACTTGCCCGAAGTCAATTGCATATGACTCTTGTTGAGTTTTTTTTCATTGACACCTTTATTTTCAATGAGGTTTACATAGTCGTTGCTTGGTTTTGTAGCATTAAAGAAAGACAGCATCAAACGATGCTATGCTAGGCACAAAGCGAGTAGACGTCGCTCCATTTTTTTGTGTCAATCACGCTTGGTAGCATTTGCGTTTGAACACTTCACTTATTACACTTGTGCGATTGTAAAAAAATAAATAAATAAATTAAAAATAAGTAAAATGTGGGTTGAATCACAGTCTCTACAGTTTAAAGTTTTACAATGCTAACAGTGTGACCGAGGGAATGCTTTTTTTCTTTTTTCTACTTTTATGACCAGTGCTCTCGAATAGTTTTCAGCCTTAGCAGTTTGGTTCTTAAGAGAAAACTTCCAGTGAAATAAGAAGGCAATGACCAAACTAACACACATAACTTCCTCCTCCAAGGAGGTCATAATCTCCACCTGCAGCACATTTAGATTCTGTTCCAGCACCCCAGAAATGCTCTGCCTAGCGTGCGTTCCCACCTTTTTGTCTGACAGGCCCGACACCTGGTCCACATACTCCTCCTGGATCATGAAGGCTGCCAGGTTGGCAGTGTAGGAAGCCAGGAAGATGACAGCGAAAAAGGCCCACACTGACACCATGATCTTACTGGTGGTGCCTTTGGGATTCTGCACTGGAACAGAGTTGTTGAACACCAGACCCCAAAGCAGCCAGATGGCCTTTCCGATGGTGAAGGATGGACCGCCGGGTTCTGGCAAGCGAGAGAAGAAAATAAACATGAGAGATGATGAGGAAACGAAGGCGGGGGGCACAATGCTGATGGAAGTACTGGTGGATGTACTGTAGATTCTCATTTTTAGTTTGTTGGCGATTATAAATTACTGCCTGCTTTATTGGTCTAGTAATGAGCCATATTTGACATGACGTTGTCGAAAAATCTGACTGCATACCCCCAACCAAAAAGTCACATATACCCGTATACTGAAGTCATAAACTCGTCTCAATTTACTCACAAATGTACATCCTAAGTAGAAATTATTATCATTATATTATTATTTTATAATTATTGCGTCAGGTGCATGAAAAACTAATCTTTTCAGCAATCTTCAGTTTTGATATGCACTATTAGAGAGGTGGCGACACAGCGGGCGACTGATTAGCACGTGGGCCGCACAGCGCGCAGGTGCAGGGTTTGAGTCTGGCTCCGGCCTTCCTGTGTGGAGTTTGCATTTTCTCCCCGTGCCTGCGTGGGTTTTCTCCGGGTACTCCGGTTTCCTCCCACATTCCAAAAACATGCGTGGCAGGTCAATGGAACAATATAAATTGTCTCTAGGTGTGAGCGAATGGTTGTTCGTCTATGTGTGCCCTGCGATTGGCTGGCAACTGGTTCAGAGTGTCCCCTGCCTACCGCCCGAGGACACCTGGGAGAGGCTCCAGCACGCCCGTGACTGTCGTGAGGATAAGCTGATTAAAAATGGATAGATGGATGGCTGTTCGAGAGGCTTTCGTGAATTCAGACAAAGTTTTGATAACTGATAGTTTGCATTTGAAGCAAAGGAAGAACCCAGATTATGATAAAATTATAAAATTACAGAATTTCACTTGATTAAGTGTGTGAAGTAGCCTCTACGATGAGACTGCACCGTACAGAAATTCAACTTTAGTTTGCTAAAAGATGTACATTTTGCCACCTTGCAACTTTGATCATTTCCTGTATATTCCCCTTAATTAATGTAAATTCCAATATACTCTACATACCCATCAAGTTAACCTCAAGTTAACTGATCTAGCACCTGTACATCACTGATAAAATACAGTACATCCGCAAAAAATAAACATCCAGTATTGTGAAAGGAATACCTCGTTGACAACGCCAACCAATCTGCGCATTCAGATTTAGCAGGCACACCTAAAATTGTGGCCGTACAATGAATGAGCTGTGCAAGCAATCACCAAAGAGACGACCTTACCCTGAGAGACTGTTCTGACCATGTTTGTATATGTGTGCGCGTGTGTTTGTGTGTAGGTAGGGAGGCAGGTAGGACAAGCTCGAGGAGGGTGAAAAACAGGAGGGGGCGGGGCTAGACATGTTACAATTGTTCTACATCTGGAGCAGGAGCATGCTCAAGACGACACAAAAGACTACATGAGGAAACATTTCTCCAACTTAAATACTCATTTCAGTCCCTTAAGCGGAAAAAAAAAAGGCTGTGAACAGCGAACAGTTTTACCGATGAAAGATTTTATCCTGAGTGGCTGCTGTTGCACCAGGCCAATTCAATCCTGACAGTCTGGCTCTATAAAACCGACAGGAAAAGCTAAGAAATCGAATTTGCCGGCTTTGATGGGAAAATTGATTGAAACCGCCCTGCTACTTGGGAACTGCATTTTGACACCCAGCGGGCAGTGGCGCTACGTTATGCCGCGCATTGTTCAAACTGACAACTATTTCCAATGCGCGGTAACAGAAGCGCCTGAGCGCATTTGGCCTTTTTACAAACCGGGAGGGGAAGGTGGCGTAACGCTGGTGTAATACTTGAGAGCGGCACAGTAAGAGTGCTCAGTCTTTGACACTTGTCTGATTGTGTTAAACAAGCCTTTTCATTAGAAAAAAAAAAAGACTTCAAGTGAGTGACAATGGAAGTAAATGCTCCATGAGTAGAAACTCGCAGCTCCCTTCATGGGTGATAATAGAAAAATTGAAAATTCAAGGTAACTCAACGGGGCGCCAAATGAGTCAGTGCCATAATGTGTGTGTGTGTGTGTGTGTGTGTGTGTGTGTGTGTGTGTGTGCGTGCGTGCGTGTGTGTGTGTGTGTGCAAGCCACTCACCTCTGCCGTCTGCCAGGCAGCGATTGTAACCCACCGGGCTGAAGTACTCAAACACAAACACGGCTACGGCAGACACGATCAGCAGCATTACAAACATCATCACCCACACGTCAGCACTGAAGGGCTCTGCAACACAAGGCCAGTGTTAGGTTAGGTGTTGAGCGAATGTTTATTCAACTCATAGAGAACGCGGTGCAACAGCTGCACAATCCAATGGAAGCCAAAACAAGAGTTGTTGTGTTTTGCAACATTTGAGCCAATGCACATATTTTACATGAGAAATAAAATCTCCCAGCGCAACAACAAACACAAAAGGAGACTTTACACCAGGGGTGTCAAACTCATTTTTGTCAGGGGACAGATTTTAGTTACAGTTTCTCCTGGAGTGCCGTTATGACTGAAACAGTATAAATAAGTCAACGGTTTATTCATCTGTTGTTTAAGTTACTGTAATGAGGGGTCTGGTAACAAGAAAATTATTACAGTATCACTCATATTTATTATAAATGAGAATTTGAAATTTTGGTCAAGATTTTTGATTTGATTTGCTTTCGCGGGCCACGTAAAATGATGTGGCGGGCCCGATCTGGCACCCGGGCCTTGAGTTTGACACATATGCTTTATTACACTAATCTGATCGGTCGTATCAAATCATAAACAAGTTGATTTAAAAGGCTCGTTGCTCCATCTTGTGATTGGATCAGTTATCAGTAACAATAAAACAAATTGATTGATCACCGCGAAAAATACTAATGGTGTAAAGCCGAACAAAAAGTTTCTATTTTGATGCAATGATGATCTTGGGCCTTGTTTTTGTGGGTGGAGTTTTCTTTCTTTTGGTACTTTGTTAGATTTTGCGCCGGTAAAAATGAGTGCGACGGGGCATTCACTGTGGGAAAAATAAGGATGATCAATTTTGTAAACGAATGCATGGATGGATAATTGATGTGATAAACAAAGTGAATCGTGTTGAATGAGAACTTCTCTGGCAGTCTCAATCAAAAGTGAGAATTATCACCGCCACATGCACATGCAGTGAACCGCAGCAATTTACTAGGGACAGGAAGAGAGACCTGCCGCAAATAGTGAACATTTTTGAGGAGTTGACACTCGCCCATAAAGATTTGTAATTACCTAAAGATGCCACAAGATGGTAGCAAAGCATTTTTGTTGAATTAGACAAGGCTGTGGCCTCATTACATGAAGCTCCTTCCCTCACTTCAAATAGTTCCTTGACCAAAAGATAGCGCCAAAGCAATATTTTTATAAGACCTGGCTTTGGTATGATCCCCCAAAACAGCCAAGAGGTGAGTTTTTCATTAAATAACAATGGGTAGGTCCCCCGAATATCATGTTCTCACCAAGGAAGGCAGAGGGTGACACGGTCCCGTTGCTACGGGAAACCATGACACTAATTCCCGTCTCGATGAAGGGCACGGAGAAGTCGATGACCTCGGACCGCTCCTCGTTGATGGTGAGCGAGCCCACCGCCATGTGAGCGTTCTTAAGCACCACCTGACACACACACACACACACACACACACACACACACACACACACACACACACACACACACACACACACACAGACAGACCCAGGGGGAGAGGCGCTCAGTGAACGTAACGTCAAGTAGAAGAACTCCATGTACGGAATAACCACAGGAGAGAGAAAAAACAGTATTATCGTACTCCCTATGGGTTTGTTCGGGTATATTCAGCCTGAAGTTCTACAGCATCAGGCTATGAATAAAAATAGGTATGAAGGAATTGTTTTATTTCTCTTACTGACGCATTATCATCTTCTGTGCGCCCCAGAGCTAACTTGTTCGCTGCTTAGGCCAGTGGTGCACTTTCCATCAGCATAACCGCAATCTACAGAACGTGTACCTTTTGGAAATAATACAACACCACCTGCAGGAGGGTGTTGCATTGTTGTATTTGGCTGCACAGTTTAACCCATTTCGGTGAAGACGATATTAATGTCACCCGTCCCTTGCCATGATCAATCAAGTGGCACATCAGATTGATTCTTGACTGCTAGATAATGCCTCAAGTGTGTGGAATTTAAGACACAAGCACAGTTTCCCTCTCCATCTACCGTTAAGGGCCTCAGTGTGCTCCACCCGAGGTTGTGCGGAGCTGACGACTCGCGTCCCCTCAGGCCAGGTGGAGGGAGGGGGGAACATGTGCTTGATGATGTGAAATAGGCATAAGCCTTTCAGATGATTTAATTAGGCCTATCTAAAATGTAAATTCCTGTGGGCACAATGGCAATCTCTTCCTGGCTGCGTATCAACAACAAACATCTGGAAAGGGAGTGACTGACGAGACAGAATGCTTAATACAAGACAATTCGGAAGAGATGATTGTAATTAAGACACTTATTTTTACGTTGCTTTTAATTGAAAAAAAAAAGCTGATGATTGCACAAGTCCGGGAAATGAGTTAATTTCAGTCTGTTCTCGGGAACAAACAAATCTTGTCTCACTGGTCATTGTGATGCTGTTGTGACGAAGCATCGACTCTTTCATAGTTTCTAACAGACGCAAAAATATGACTCTGTCGTCAACACTCATCTTGACACAGATATCTTTATGATCATAATATTGCAACATTATTTTAAGTTTGAGTACTGGTGTCACACAAGACATATTTCAAACACAGACTACAAGTTTTCCCCATCAATGTGGCAGATGAGCAACCGGTATGTCTATAAAGAGATCCTCCAGTGTTTGCTTCGTTCAGTGCGTGAGAAGAGGTGAGAAAATGTGGCAGGATAATAATGGCCTTAGCATGGGACAATTTCTGGCCGAGAAGAACATTCACGTGCTCGAGCAAACTCCCTATGCACGCAACCTGACTCAGTGTGATTTTTGGAGATGACATCAAGGTGGGCGTGATTTCGGAACCGCACAGCATTTCCGAAATCATGTTTCCGTTCGTGTCTGAAGCCGTGGCAGAGAAGGCTGGGAAAGTATGTTTGATTCTACGGGGATTCTTATTTCTTAAAGGGGAAAACATTCGTACTTTGGATTTGAAATATCCCTTTTGTAACATTAGTTCATTTTCACCATTTCGTGTACATTCTATAATAAGACACCAAGTCGGAAGCAAGCTTTGCCATGTCACAAAAAAAATGCAAAGAGGACGGCAAAAAGTAGAAATGTGTGGCGTCTCGCATCTTGAAAACTTGAACATTTGTGAGCCTATTTAATTCCATTTGCCTCAGATGATTTTATTTTATTTTTCTTGTAACAACATGACTCATAGTACCCTATAATTAGAAAATACACATTTTGTGTCGTAAAACTTTATTCTCAGAACATTTTTAAACCACACTATGTATGAATGCATTAACATAATGTTGCTTTTTTTTTTTTTTTTTTTTTTTTTGGTTTGACTTTGACTTCATTCTAATAACATATTATTAAAACATCCTCACCTCTCCAACCATTCCGTTCCACGTCCCGTTCACCTTCTTGCCGTGTTTACCGTTAGTGACCAGGTAGAGGTCGTAGGTGAACTTAACCGCCTTGGCGATCTTCTTCAGGATGTCGATGCAAAATCCTTTGCAGCAGCGCTTGATGTAAATGCCAGAATCGCCCGTTTGGTTGCTGACAGGTGAAAAGGGGGAGGGAGGAAAAATGTAGATGTTAAAATAGGTCACACATATTTCCACAGTGTGACAAAGCAATCTGGCAATAAATAGAATACAGTATGTCAAGAGCCAGGAGACTGTTAAGTAGTGCGAAGTCATGGCTCAAGAAGTCATACAAATGCAAAGCCGCGCTCCCGCAATGCAATGTTTCTTTTTTAATAGTAACGCTGCGTGTTGTTCGAAGCAGATGTCATGCAAAGGGCAGAGTATGTTTGATTGTGTTCTTTGAAGTGAAATGAATGCGTAAAGACAACTCCGCCAGTAGAATGTCACAGGTTTATGAATTCATATCATGCATGTGAGCCACCTTCATGATAATTGAGGTACTGTAATATATTCCATAAATTATGCAATAATGAGAACACAGGGGTGTAGCTGTCTGTGACCAAGGCTGTGAGGTGTGTGCCGGTGAATGTTTATACCTCCATTTACACACTGTAGTTTATTTAGGTCACGGAAAAATTCGACATACTGTAGTTCAAATAGGGGTTACACTGCATGCTCTCATTTGCTCTCGCACCTTCATATCAGTTTGAGATAATTGGCTATCAGTTAAAGTCTAGGGAACATAAGGGAATAAAATAAAAATCAAGTGCAAAACAGTCCAGGATGGGCCAATGTAGCCCTTCTTTTGCCTGGAATAAAATGGCGACACAGAACTAGATTATTAGTATAGAAAGCATGTATTGTATTGTATTGTAAAAACGATGGTTGGATGGATGTAAAATAAAACGGAAGGACGCATGTGGGAAATGAAAACACAACAGAAATCAACATACAATTGGTTCACAATGGGGTTGAATTGATATCACTTGAAAATATATTGGCGGTACGCTGATGGACTGATTAACACTTCCGCCTGGCAGTGCAGAGGTGCAGGGTTCGAATCCAGCCCGGTCTTCCTGTGTGGAGTTTGCATGTTCTCCCTGTGCCTGCGTGGGTTTTCTCCGGGTACTCCGGTAACCTCCCACATTCCAAAAACATGCATGGCAGACTAATGAACACACTCAATAGTCCAAAGGCGTTTGAGTGTTCAAATGGTTGTTCGTCTATGTGTGCCCTGCGATTGGCTAGCAACCAGTTCAGGGTGTCCTTCGCCTACTGCCCGACGACAGCTTGGATAGACTCCAGCATGCCCCGCGACCCTCATGAGGATCAAGTGGATTAGAAAATGGATACCTAAATGAAAACCTAAAAAACAAAGTGTCATCACTCAGGACCACTTGTAGGAGCTGCCTCCCTCACCTGAGTTTGAGCTGTTTACGACAAGGCACGGTGTTCCTCATGCAGGTGCCGCTCAGCGGGTCCACGTCCTCCACGATGACAAAAGGCGCCTCCTCCAGCGTGACGATGGACAGGTGGTCCTCGTGCTCCTCCGCCGCCGAGTAGAGCTCAAAGCGAGGCCACACGTGGTACTTCATGGCCAGAGAGCCCTTCTCCCACTTGCCCACCTGCGCGACAAAGAGACCTCGTGACGGGTGGGATTTTTTGCAACAAAAGAGCTGCACCGCAAACACCCTATTTACCCTGTCCCACTGTCTGTCCTTGTCGAGCAGGATGATGACCAGTTTGGGAAAAATCTGGTGGCCCTCCTCGCTGAACGACAGGTTCCGCCCTTCAAACGTCACATTCATGATGTACCTGGCAATTAGATTGCAACCCCAAATGTCAGAACGTGTGTGGGGGGGATTTGAAAAACAAAGGATGCCGCTTATCTCAGCGCGGTGAAACAAGGCGTAATCATCGGACGCTTCATCAAACAGAAGACAATGCGGTATCGGCAGCAGCTTGGTGTCGAGCGGGTGAGTCTGCGGGAAATATCACCATCTAAATTCTACACCATGTTCACCTGCGAGGCCGTGTTGTCAGTCTGTTTGAGATGTGGACAGGCAGAACAGAAAAAAAAAAAAAAAAAAAAAAAAAAAAAGCAGCCTGTCAAGAAAGATGAGGTCCGTGGACCAAAACTGGAGCAACATGTGCAACTTTTCCAACCACAGCAGTGGCATAAAAGACACTAAAATCACGTCGACGGGGGATTTCGTCACGATGGCGACTCGGATACGACTTTTCAAATGTGTTGAACGTCAAAAGTGTATCTGACTGATCAGGAGGATTATTGGATTCTTTCCATTTCGTAGGCTTTAGATACTTTTGCTTACTTTGTGACGCAGATCAACGGAGAAAATCCTCTGTCAGTTCCCGATATTTGTCACAAAACAAAGTAAGAGTCAAGATAACCAAACCAAAGTCAAATGTGCACGCGCAACCAGGCAGTGTAACATTTCAATGGCCACCAATGGTGCAGTCAGAATTCAACTCCAAATCTCTGTTAGGTTGTGGAAAACTTGAGACGTGACGGCTGGTATGCATCATGTGTCCTGTGACATGTTATCATAGGACGTGTGACCTCACATCAGCCAACATGAAGGGATGAACTCTGTATGCCTTTTTGTTCGTTTCCATTTTCTTTCTATTCATGGGTTCTTTGCAACACTGATGACAGATCAATCAAGACTCATTTTGCTGAGTTTTATTTTCCATCCATCCAACCATTTTCTAATCCGTTTTCTAATCTGCCGCAGCCAATCGCAGGAGTGTTGAACTGATTTATATACTACAGTCATACCTCGGTTTTCGAGCACAATCCGTTCCAGAAGGCTGTTCGAAAACCGATTTGTTCGAAAACCGAAACCACGCTCTTTAAAAAAAAAAAAAATCTTTATTGAACACATCTGCTCACAATGGAATGTGAGCAGATGTGGAATAACGTCACTTCCTCGTGTAAGGAAGGCGAGAGGAGTCAAGTGGTGCATTAAGGTGCCATCAGTTTGACCGAGAACCGATTTTCGGTCGTAATCCGAGGCATACAAACTCGAAACTTTTGGTCGAAAACCGATTTGGTCGAGAACAGAGACGTTCGAAAACCGAGGTTTGACTGTATATTGGAATGACAATTAAGAATGTTAAAATACGAGGTACAGACCTGTGACATAACTCACTTTTGCGGGTAATTTAAACCTTTCATGCACCAATTATGATAGCATGCAACATGATAACATGATAGGCCGTCTGCTGTAGTAACTGCTGTCCCCGAAAGGGTTAACAGTGTTTGTTGTTTGAATTTATCCATCCATCTTTTTTTTCTATCCCGCTTGTTCTCATTCGACAAGTGGCTGGGCAAATATGGACACAGATCGACACTCAACCACTCTTTAGAGCCCCCACTTAACCTAACATGCAAGTTTTTGGAATGTCCGAGGAAGGTGGAGTTCCTGAAGAAAATCCACGCAAGCACGAGGGAGCAAATGCAAACTCCACAAATGTGTTGACCACTTGGTCGATTGTGCCAGCAATTTTATTTGATCATTTTCATGGTTCCGTCTTATTTTTTTCACTTGCATGTCTGTTGAAATAATTTCAGCGCGACAGTTTGTTCGGGACGAAAAAGAAAAACCAAAAAGAATTTTGTTCTCCTTCCATGTTAATCTCGACACTTGACACATGCGTATGAGCGGCGAGCTCTATGCGTAGGTCGGATAAAGGCACAATGCGGAACGGTGGCCAAGAACAGCAAGAGAGGGTGGGGAATAGAGAAGTAGCGCAAGGACATGACTCCATTTAATGATTTCATGGAAAGAAAAGCAGCTGCCCACAAAGTGACTGGCCTGGCTTTTGATTGGCCCCCCCCACCGTTGTCAAGGATGAGGAGGCCAACGGAGCCAAGGGCAAAAGGTGAAAATTGAAAGGAAGGGCAAGCGTATGAACCTCCTGTGAGCACTCACATCGGCAAACGTGTCTCAACAAGTGCATATCTGGTTCTTTTTCTCCCTCCGCCACCGCCTCTTTCCCTCACTCGCCCTCGTCGCAAACTGTGGGCCGCTTGTCACCATGGAGACGTTCTGCCTCGGAACACAATCCGCCGGAGAAATAAATATCGTGTCTGCATACAAGGAGTACTAAATGGATGAGCCCATCATCTTCAAGTGTGAAAAGACAAACACAAGACAATAAATCTATTAAGAAGAGATGAGCAAAGGGCCAAAGATTTAATCACAAGTACCTCCCACTGGAACACTGAACGGCTCTGAGTAAGACGTCTGTGGCTCTATCAATAACGCATTTCTCTTGAACACACGCGCGCACACACACACACACACACACACACACACACACACACACACACACACACACACACACACACACACACACACACACACACACACACACACACACACACACACAACGCACACAGTGGAGTGGAGGCTTCACATTGTATTGTGTCAACAGGCATTACTGGTTGCAGCCTGCGACAGTGCACACAAGATGGGATAAGCCTCCTTAAAGGACTTTTTGCTTCCACCTTCATCTGAGCATTGTGCAACATGCTCCTGCTCGAGGTGGAAAAAAATACCCTCACGCTATTTCTCAGTGGAATTCCAGATACTGTTACGAAGAGTCCTTGCAAATCGAAAATACATATGCCTTGTAAATTAGACACAACATGATGAAGAGCGTTGTGAACAACCCTGCCAAATATTTTGTTCTTCTACTTCTTCCTTTCATAACTTTGCTGCTGTGAATTGGGAATTTCGCCATTGCGAGACTAATAAAGGATTTCTTATCTTATCTAAATTTGAATGATTAAAAAGATTTTTTTTAAATCACCAAGTATATAAAATGAGGCTTCAAAACTATTAAAACTGAAGTTATTGTCTCAGCTCTAAAATACTGTGACAGTTTGCTGGATACATTTTTACGACACAATATTTACTGTGATATTTCAATTAAAAAACAAATAATACTAATGCTAAAACGCAGATTAAACTAAAACGAATCATTTTTGAAAAACTAAAATGAATTCAAAAAAAAAAACTAAATGAAGAAAAAAGTCAGAAAAAAATAAAAACGATACCAAAAATTCCCAAACTACTATAACCCTGGCAGGAAAGTTGCATTTTTTGTTCCAACTCTGCTAGATAATTGATCTGATGTGAATGAGGTCAGGTCGACTCATTCCAGGGCCCGAGTGTTTCAATGTGCCACGTTTAAACCACACCCCTATATAAATCTGGAAAATTGTAACTATAATTGCGATAATCAATTATTGCAGGTGTTACCCCCCCCCCAAAAAAAAAAAAAAAAAAGAAATAAAATGACGTGTGAGAAAAATGCTATGACATCTAAGTCAGTGACGTAAAGGAAAACGTGGCACGTCCCACAGATGAAAATTCTCTGCAATTAACTGGAGGAGGACATGGGGACACAATATCACCACTGTACACACCCAGCCAGCCCTCCTCAGCATCTTAGTGAAAGCGCTCGCCCACAAAGATATCTGTAGAATGACTGAATCGTGCGTTAATTCCTCCAGCCCACGCCGAACGCAGATTATGTGTGCTCTGATTGAATGAAAACACTTTCTATTGATTGAATTCGATGTGTGATGTTGCTCTCATTAACCCTTTCATGCACCAAGAATGATAACCTGTCGACTGATAACATGATAAGCTGTCCACTAGAGTAACCGCTGTCCCTGAAAGGGTTAAAATGCGGGTGCACTTCATCGAAGGCTCCAACCATCTTTGGAGAAATCGTTGTTTCATTTCGTCTTGTTGGTGATGGCTGTATCGTGCCATCTGTAGTCTGACTGTTTGACCACAAAGTTGTGTGTGTATGCATTGTCGGAGCTGTGCGTCAATTTCCGCAAATGGCTAAATTCCATACTTGGCGTGGGAACGTTCGTACGCACGCTTCGGGCACACTTCTGGAGGGCGTACAACCGCAACGCAAGGGAAGGGAGTGGAAGGCTTGTATACCTCGGCGTGATGTCATGTGACGTGTTGCCATGGCAGCCACAACCATCAGCTGTGTTGCCATGGGAACAGTAATCTCAGCGGATGAGAGGCGTATCTGGTTTTTTTTTTTTTTTGGGCTTTTTTTTACTTGCTATCTCTCGACGTCTCTCACTGTCAGATCAGTGCCGGCGATTCACCTCAGAGAGATGCCACAAATCACTCATCAATAGTGTGCAAGGCCAGTGTTAAACCAGTGCCTTTACTGATGCATGCTGGGATTTGGAGGGCAGCACGGGCCGGCTTGCCTTGTTTTTCATGTTTGGAGCCCATACGATCGACGGGGCATTTATGAGCTGTTTGATCCCTTCTCATGTCGGTGCTCCCTTCTGAGTTGACTGGAAATAGAAGAAGAAAAAAAAAAGGCAACTGGGAGGAGCTACTAAGAGAATCTCACGCAGCTCAATCGCAGTCACGCTCGATGTTTGCGCACGCTTCACCCACCAACTCTTCACTGTGTGTCTGTGAGGGGAATAGAAACAACCTTACAGCTTAAATAGCTTCGGCATGGTGACTCATGTTGATTCCTGCCTTTTATTGTAGACTGCTTCTAAAAAAAAAAAAAAATAGCAACACAGTCTGTCGCTGCAATCCAGGGAGGGATATAAAAATGACACCAGCACACACACCCACATATACACATGTACATATTATACTATACATGTATATGTGTGTATATATATATATATATGTTATAATGTGTTGTTATGTAAAATAAAGACATCCGCAAAAAAGCTGGGACCGGATGATTAATCAGTTGGACCCGAGTTTTCATTTCTTGTACAGCAT